TGTTGTGTTTTGACAGGTGATAAACCTTCATCTTTACAGTGATTTTTCTTTTTTTTTTACTCAAACTGGACTTCCTGGATCATATGTCATGGTCTCACTGGTGCCTGAAACAGTACACCTCTACCAACACAGCCTTGTTTTAATGCTCGGCTGAGAAGACAAAAGAGAGAAATCTGGTCCTGGATACCAATGTTTGACCCAGATTATCTGACTCACCGGCCCGCTCCAATTATATCAAACATGTTTGATAGTAAGGTGTTGAAATCGGGATTATTTAAGATTATGATTACATCACCCCTGGACAGTTCTGACAGTGTTGCCAAGCAATGGTAAATGTTCAAGCTTTTGAGCCTAATATTAGCTAGCATACTACTGTTGACAGATTAAAACTGACAGTTAAAATCTGACCTCCAGTTCTCGCTGAAGAAATCCGTGTTGACCACCGTGTCTCCCCAGCTACATTCTCACCCAGACTTGTTTGGCCTTCTGCTTTTGTTTTTTTCTCACTGCAGAGTTTTACTAACCTTACAGCAAGTTGTTGCTCACAGTTTCCATTCTGTTTACATCTGCTTCCCCATGATATCCTGACACATGAGATCACGTGAAGTGATGCCATTATTTTCAAATCTTGCAGTGTCAGTGCATGTTTGAGATTGGAGAGCGGAACATCTGTGAAGTTTCGCCTTATGTGCGTGAGGCAACCAGATTTCAAAATCAGTTAGGATTTTAAATCCTGTAGTATGAGCCCGGCTTAAGAACCACATATTGGGGAGGTTGCAAAGCACACCCCTATCAGAGGCAGGTGCACATGTGGATCTTATGAATGCAAACACAGCTTTTACTCCCTTTAACTTTCTTTACCCCATTACTACATTACAAAACAAATTTAGAGTGGAAAGGCCATGAATTTTCATGATTCCTCCATTATCTGTTAGTTAAAAGTTGGTCCACTGTTGCAGGGCTGTGTCACCATCTGCGTCAAGTGCCTGTATAGAAGCGTGACGGTTACATCAGCCTCAGGCTAGATAACTTTTTAAGGTAGACATCTTATTATGTGACCAGCAGGAGGAAATGGACAAGATCATCTACTTCCCTCCTCAAACTGAAAATTAGCATTTTGTTGCTTTATGCAACACCTGACAAAATGTTGTGACACTGCATGAGTGACACTATTTAGCGATGGCAAACAGAAACCAGAGCCACTGATCGGCCCACAGGTCTTGTACACCGTGAAAGTCCACCTAATAGTCTCCTTCAGAAATTACGACGTGTATTTGTGTTTTATGTCGTGTCCTTCAGCGAGCCCTGACTCACCATGCCCTCTGATTCAGCGTGTGTCATCACCGTTTCTGGCATCTGCACAGTGTGCTTGTTTTCTTCTCCCTCTCCTTCCTCACATCCATCCGTTCATTTATATATTCATAGGTTCAGTACATAATTCCTCAAGGTAATTCATATGCAGCAAATTAAAGATTATGCCGATGTGATTTATGAGCATGCTTCTGCTTCTGCTTCTCATGACTGGCATTCCCCGCAAGTCCCACACATCTGTGCTGAACTTGGAAGATCTGCTTTTAATTTCTATCCTCTGAGCACTTTCTCTCTACAAAGCACCCTAAGATGAACTCTGGTAACCCTTGAACAATAACTGTATTTATATATAGCTGTTGATTCGATTGTTATATGTCTGTCTTTTCAGATCTTCCATCTTTTAAGTCATTTAAACTGTAACTCAACATCATTGTAAATGAGGACCAGCCTACAGTGATTTCTCGAGTTTAAATAAAGGCATTATACATAAAAAAAATTCCAATTTCCATTAAATGGCCGAATAAGACAGTTAGTCCTCAAGCTTTGACTATTGTGCTGGGAATTTTGCTGTATAATGGCAGAGGGGAGGGAGACTGCATATTTCTGTTGGTTTTAATTCTGAGCTGCTTTACCAGGATGCCACAGGGAGTGAATAAAAGCCGTGAATATTCACATTTGAAGGAAAGCATCATCCCTATTTTCGCCCTATCAGCCTCTGCACAATGTGTCCTGTCACCACCAACTCAGGCTCTGTGTGTGTGGATCCAGAAAGGGCACAGCTTGGTTTAGCTGGGTAATCTCCTTCTTTTCCACTTCACAGACACTCACACACTTCCACAAGCTGTCACTGCCTAATACAGGCAAATAGATGCCAGGGAGTCCCAGTGGACAGGGCATCAGTAAAAAATCTGTTTCTTCCAGAAGTGGGGAAAGAAAAAAGGGGGGTGGGGGATGGGGGGTGGGTGGCTGAGGTTTACTTCGCTGTAAAAGCCAATCAACTAATATGTGTTGGCCAGCGAGGTTGTTGTTACCATGGTGATGTGTCGGCACGTCGGTGCCCACACAATCGCAAGCATGCTGTAGCAGACTTCAAGTAGGGACCTGGATGCATTGTGCCTGTCTGTTTGCATCGTGCACCCATGTGTCTGCAAGTGTAAGCGTAGGCTTTGTGGCCGTGACCTTAGGTCAATCTTTGGTTGGAGCAGAGCTGTTTGGGCTGCGGGAGCTGTGGGGTCTGGAACAGTGTGTTCCCCACAGCCAAATGGGTCAGGACTGCTGGGTCTCAGTCAGTGAGCCGGAAAAGTACCCACACATAAGCGTCACACACCACAACTCTTAGTCGGCCCAGTCAGCACTAGAGTCCCATGCTTGTCTGCTTGTGTTGTCCACAAGAGGATAGAGATGGAGATGAAGGGAATTCTGGATTGAGGACATATGCCAGTCCTTTTCTTGAACAGGTTGTGGTAGATTTATAGTGCATATAGAAAGGGTGATAAGGGAAACTTCAGGCCAGATCGCTGTGGTTGATTAGTTGAAGAGATGAAGAGAATGGCAATGTTCAAAATAATTTGTTCCTGTTTTTTTATTGTCAAGAATATGTGTTGTGAGAAAAACTGTTAAGAGTGAGTACTCAAATTAGAGATGCATGGATCAGGTTCATATAAACAACATGGGAAAATTAGAATGAATGAATTTAGCATTTCTTAAAATGAGTGTGAGCCTATATTTGAGGAACTAACCAGAAAATATGCAAATGTAACATTGTCAAAGACTTCATGACTTAAAATTGATTCAGAGGATTAAACACACGAAGGTCAGTTTAGGTATAATGTAGAAAAAACAGCTGTACTCTATAATGGCTTCTGAGGCTCTGGAGGCACCTTTTTAAAGTTTGAGAAAATATCCTAATGTTGGCACAGTGATGTCATCAGGGTTATTTCAATTGGTCATGAGACTTGATTAAATTTTAACAAGAAGCCTGTGCTTCAGACTGGGGGCAGGCTTGGTGTTGAGGTTCATTATGGGTAATGCAGGATTCAGCATTTTTTGCCACTCAAACCACACCAGCAATTAAAAGTTTGGATATTGTGGCATCTGCTTCTCAGATTTCTTTTTCCAGTGTTCTCTTAATCAGTACCTCATAATTTCCTCAGCTACTGTATGTGCAAGCTCAATGCTAAACTGCTGGAATACCTCTTGAATTCAAATATTCTGTAGAACAAATACTGTTTAAAGTAGTGTATAGTGTGAAAGTAAAAGGTTTGGAGGAAGGGAGGATTACTAAACAAAATGGGACCCTAAATAATACATGCAAACAAATAGATGATCCAATAACTGGTTTTACAGCAGTAAATATGACTGAGGTTCCAAGTGTATGACATGTGAATGTTATATTTGCTACAGAGGTGTCCTCTGAGATGGAGGCTACAGTAGAACTCTCCTCATTACTCCCATTGGACTGCTAATGCTCACAGTGTTTAGGTGGTGTGTTAAAATAACTGCTGAGTGTCCAATACTTCATCGATTGTGGTTAAGTCCCTCAAGCATTTGCTATTGGACTGCTACAGGTGTACAAATGTTTGGTTAAAGATGAATGCATTCAGTAAATGAATATTCCGTGTCTGTGCATGTTTGTGTGTGTCTGTCCCAACCTCTCCCAAAGTTCTTTCAACCTCTTTCTCTCTTGCTCTCTTTCTTTCCATCTCTCTTCTCTTTCATCTGTGCTGGCAGGCGGTTTAAAACAGGAAATCAGATTATATGGTGTTGCTCCAAACTGTGACATCTGGCCCTCTGGCCTGTTCTCAGCTCTTACAGGCTAAGAGACAAACTGACACATGTGTGCTGCACATACGCACACAGCAAGACAATGACAGATTGTGAATAACTTAGCACAATGGGGGAATAATTACACACGATCACCATTGTGTGTGTGTGTGTGTGTGTGTGTGTGTGTGTGTGTGTGTGTGTGTGTGTGTGCTTTCTGTTTATTGGTCACAGAACCACACTAAACATTTCTCTAAAACACTGCGGTTGAATTTGATCTTTTTAAGGGCTTTAATAGCATTGTGTGTATTGTTCTGGAAAGTAGTTTCTTCAATTAAAAGAAAAGAAAAATAAAAAAAAGTTCTATTTGGAATCACAGGCATTGCTTTGGCGACGATTTTGCAGGGAATTGCAGAAAATGAAAAGCAGATTATAGATGCACAGCTTTTTCATTCATCATGGCTGTTTACACGGAAACGGAATGAGCCACTACGCGCACTCTGCCGCTGCTTTATTAAATTATTGTCCAGAGGCGGTAATTGTGTTTGTGGGTGGTTTCAAACTTTTAGCCTCCATGACTCAGAGTGCATAGTAACTACTGTAATTAAGCTACAGGGGCCTGCTTCCTATTCAGAGTCTATAGACATGAATAGGAGACAGAGGAGAATACTAATGAGTCACATGCTTCTTCCATCAAGCTGCCAATAAAACGGCAACAAATCATCTGTGTGTGTACAAATCACCTTTATCTCTATTTTGCTTTTAATTTCCTGTATGACTCTCTCCGGTCTTCCGTCTGATCTCCGCACGGTTCCACCCTTTTAACACTGGCGTTATCTTCCATTGTGGCAGATGGGGCTCCGCTGAGCGAGCTGTCATGGCCTTCGTCCCTGGCGGTGGTAGCTGTCTCCTTCTCTGGCCTCTTCACCTTCGTCTTCCTCATGCTGGCCTGCCTCTGCTGCAAGAAGGGAGACATCGGCTTCAAGGTGAGCTCACTGCTGCCCCCTGCTGGAAAAGGAGGAAGGGAGCACAAACTGTATGCATTAACAAAAGTGCCATTCAGTTTCGTTTCAGTCTGCCACAGTTGTTAGATTAAAGACCTTTAACGAATAATTTGTTGCCCATGTTTGTTTTGTTTTTTTTATCTTGATGGACAAATCGATTGTCTGTTTCAGCTCTGAAATAAAGTGTGCCAAGTTTGTGTGTCAGTTTTAAAACAAAAGAATACCTGTAGCCTAAGTGACAGTTCCTGTTCATCATTTGATGAGCAAAGTTATGTTTACTTCTTTAAAAAGATTTCATTTAAAACATTTATAATAAAATGTATGTAAGTGAGTAAAGTTTATATACGTAGCACTTTTCACAGACATGAGTCACAAAGTGCTTTACAGAGCTAAAAACAGTTAAGATCAGTCAAAATGCAAAAACATAATACAGAGATACACTAACATATCCAATAAAACACAGAGTGATAAACGAGGATAATTCATTTTTGTATAAAATGTCATTTTTAAATGTCTTGTTTTGTCCGAGCAGCAGTGCAAATTTTCCTTTTGTTTTCATAAATGACTATATAACTTCAAATCTTCACATTTGAGAAGTTGGAACCAGCGTATTTAAAAAAAAAAAAAAAAAAAATGAATTAACAATTTTTTCAGAATAGTTGCCACTTGATTTTATGTCAATCATCTAATCGCTTAATGGAAAAATTGTTGCCGCTAACTTGTTGGAGGAAACACTCTCTCAGGACACATCAGGATCATATAAGTATAGATGCTTCAGCGCTGATATGCTCAGTTCTCTAATCTACACATATTCTTTATATTAAAGTCTTTTGAGAACTGTTGCCTCATTGTATGCAAGTGATGCAACCGAATACCCCCACCCTTCCCAGGCTGGCACACATTGTCTCTGCGTTGCCCCTCAGCTGCCGGCATGACTCAGCCATGCTGTGTCAAACATCGGCGCTGAAGTGAGCGGCTGATGAGGACCAACAGAGATTGACACAGGCAGGGGGCATATGGAGAAACTCCAGAGCTGCTGTACTGGCTGCTCCTTGTAGTTCCAAGTTTCCCATTAACATGCTGCTCATATTATGGCATCAGCATGGAAACATTATTTTCGTTTCGGTCATGCATTTTAATGTTACTAACTCTTTTTTTTTTTTTTTTTTTTTTTTCTTTTTAGCAAGGGAATGGGTAAATCACAGCAGAGTCTTCTGTTCACTTATGCAGATCACTGAAAACCTTGCTTGGCTTTTTGTAGATGATTAGAGAGATGCAGAAAGCAGAAGAGAGTTCAGGATGGAGAATGAGCGTCTTGTTTCTTGTTGAGATATGTGGCTGAGAGGCAGCCAGGTCTGTGCTTCAGCGCTCACACTGAACAGTGGGAACAGCCTGTGGTAGGTAGATGCTGCAGGGATAACAGTGTGACTAATGAGCACAGCATAGAGAAGCATCATTAGCAACTTCTGGACTTTTCTTCTGTGTGTGCAATGTGTGTGTGTGCGTGCCCACGTTTTGTCTGTCCCAGGCTGGATCGCCTCCGCCTCATTATGTGAACATGTATTTTAATAACCTGCAGGAACAGTGGGAGTTTTGGTCTGTGTCTGCATTTTACTTTGAAAAGCCCACTGATAACAGGGGTGGCCCCAGCTACTGAAACAGCATCAGACAACAATTAAATCATTTTGTCAAACATGGAAAAAAATTGGTTGACATGCCAGTATGACACTACTGATTCATGAGAGAGAGATAATGTCACCTGCACTCTGTCATCAAAAAGTTCAGGTTATGACACCCTTAGCGCTTACAGCACCCTTATGCTGTATTCAAATTCTTGTTGAGATAAGTGAGGCCTTCCTCACTCAAAGGTGGGGGTTGGTGGTCACTGGTAATGGCAAAGAAAATATTATAATAACAAGAAAGCACATTGCAGCTGTGGTCACTAACAAGAAATCTTCTCTCTCAGAGGAAAATAATCTTCAATTCTCAGGCATATAAAAAAACTGGGCTGTACAGACTGTGACTTTATATGCTTGTTGTATCGATCATCGTTCATTGCAAAGATAAGCTGCTATAATGGCTGATGTATTTTAATCTTTAATCTTAAAAGTTATCAAATCTCCATCTTGCTCTGTTAGCTTGGCAGCAGACACCAGCGTCTGTTTAAAGGCCTCCCACCTTTTATCCCCGCTCTTTGGCACCAGCTCGTCATTCAACAGCTCACTTGTAAAGGTGTGCATCTGTGTGGCACTGCAGAAATCGCACCGCTGCGCCGTCCGAAAACCTTCATTATTCCTCTCCATCGCGGGTGCTCTTACTGGAGCGTGCAGTGTGGTGAGGCTGGATATTAAGTGCTTTCTAAACTGAAGGCTCTCCGGGGAGCTATGCAGCGCTGACTCACAGCCAGGTGCTTGCTTTCACACTTCGCTCTGAGGAGAGAGGCAGATGGTTCCCCTGAATGAGAGACATGCACACACACATTCCTATGGACACATTGGACACATGTAAATATACACACACACATACACACATGGAGCCATTCAAATTTTTTCCTATTAATCCGGCCTGCGACCCACTCTCTTCCTCTCCTCCTTTCTCATTTCCTCCTGTTTTCTCTTGACTTTATCTCTTTTCTTTACCTCTGTGGTTGCTGCAAGTAGGAGCAAGGCTTGTTATGGGTAACGGTTCATTAGCTGATGGATGGATGGAGATGGATGGAGATGGATGGATGGATGGATGGATGGATGGCTCAGTGCTTGTTAACAGAACACTACTGCCAGCCTGGTTTCCCAACGAAGCCACAGTCATAGAAACAAGATTGACTTTGAATTATTGTGGGATGTTGCTTGATGTGGTCAGACACACTCAGGACAGCATCAAGAGGTGCTTTGACTTAAGGACCTGATATATTTCATGGAAAGAGCAGAAGCCTGGATTTAGGACATCTTCCATGTGCTCTGCTGTAACCTAAAATAGATAAGAAAAAGGGAAATCATTATATGCAGTATTTCAGTCAGTGGCAGTAGTACTGTGTTATCATGTTGCGCAGTTAAGCTATAAAGATAGAGTATACATAACACCTCATCGTACTGCTGTCACGTATTACTGTGCTACTGTTAATCCCTTTGTAGAGGTGTGACATTAAGTTGTGGATTTATGCCCTTTGCCTTTGTTAGTTGTGACCTGCTGTTCTCAGGGAACAACTGTAATGAGTTTCTGTAATGTGAGTCTGTGTGAACCCCAAGACAGTGAGGTTGAGTGTGTTATATTATTATATAGAAGATTAAAATATAGATAATTACTTGGAGCTAGGTATTTTTTTAAGATTATTGCATCCTAGCAATCTATGTCTTTTACCAGGAAAACCCAGATTTTTGGCAAAAAAAATAAGTTTGATTTTTAAATCCAAATGGCAGATATACATTAGCATTTATTCAAATTTTCTAAATCTTAATGCATATGTAAGTTATTATTATATATGTTAAATTATGTGACTTTATTATGTGATTTTTGGTAGAATTATATCTGTACTTGATGTATAAAAAAACAACCAGAGGTTATAATTGTTTGCAATCGCAGCAAAGTGAAATCAGTCACATGCAGCCATTTGGGTGTGTGTTGTTTTAGTGGTTAGAGGCACAGACACACATGTGCACACACATGCTAAAAATCCCCGGGCTTCCACAGGCATTTCTTCCAGGAAAAGAGATTTTGTTGAGAATCCTCAGCAATATGAATTAATGGAATTCAAGCACACTCACAGTGACTGTAGCAATTTAATCTTCAAGGATTCAAAGGTACACTGGGACCAGTGCAGCTGTTGCACAAAAGTTGCACTGCTCCTCAAGAAAGAATTAAAGGAGCATGAGAAAATATAAATGTCACAATAATTGAATCATAATTTGAATGTGGGATTCCTGAGGTTTTGGATGAGTTTGTGAAGTTTACTCTTGACTCACCCCGACAATACTCCTGCTAGTCTACCTTGTGATCTGCCTCGTGCTGCAGATTATGCAATTTGTCTGGTTTACTGGTCATATACTGTTTCCTTGGGCTAAGTATCTTCCACTACTCTGCTGCTTCTTCTTAGCAATTATAGCCAGAGGGTTGATCCATGTGTGTCTGTTAGAATAGTTACATACAGTAGATAGATGAGGATGGATCCTTAAATTGTGAAGCCACATGTGATGGAGAGGAACTGACTCAATTCAGGACCATGCACAATTTTGTACTTGTATATGCACAGTATCAAACTTGTGTCTTTCCCACAATGAGGTATAACACAAGTTAGTTGCTCAGGGCAGTATGACCTACCTTTTGGTTAAGGATCAGCACTCTTTATACATACTGTATGGGACTTTAGAGAGACAGAGCACCATAGGGACACACTACAGCAATTAGAGAGCAAGGACACTGCAGTAGACTGGATAGCAAAAAAACGGATGGGGGCAGAAAGAAAGGCAGCCGGGCTAAAACAGATGGACTGAGCAAAGGATGTGGGATATAGGATATATAGAGGATGCAAAGAGAGGGTCACTTCTTTTATTTGAGAGTCATATGGACACATAACCTTTTATATTGTAAAGGTTATTTCTGGTTATCTGTTTTTATAGTGCACAGTAGAGGATGTAACTGCAATTCAGGATTTTGCAGTTACATGGTGGCATATGAGGAAACACTCAACAGAAAGCTCTGGTCACAAGGTCCCTCATAATTACTGATCACAGTCCAGAGCAGGTATTTTGTGTATTTTTGCAACATAATTGTGCAATAAATCATATAATTTTTTCTCTACATAAAATCCTTGAAACTGGAAAAACCTGCGCTCATGATGTACTTGTGCAAATTACTAGCACATCCTTTTAAGAAAAATAATCCTCATAGCTTAAAATAAATGCCAAAATGTACTTTTTACTCTGTGCATTTTGTGTTATTTATTTGACAGTAGTTATTTACAGTAATTGAAGTATTCACTGTTTTTAGGAGTTTTTTTTCACAATAAATGCCTTGGTTTGTATATGTAAGTGTATATGAGGAAGAAAGAGAAGACACAAGAAAGAAAAGCTTTGTGTGTACAGTTTGAATAGCAGTGTGCATTAGTGTGTTCCCCCGCAGCGTTTGTGCAGTGACCCCCACACGGTACACCCTACAATGTACATGACTTATGTATATGGCTAGGTGGGCGTGCCTCAGTGCATCTGAATGCCCTCACAGTTGAACCATTGTCTCCCACTGTGTCGGTGGCAGGATGGCTGCGAGTGGATGACTAATCCCAGCTTGTGTCTTTGCACCAGGAGTTTGAAAACACTGAGGGAGAGGAGTACCAGGCAGATCTCTCCGCCCTCGCCTCGCCTTCCTCCCAGAATGGCCCCGAGGTCTACATCCTTCCCCTCACTGAGGTCTCCCTGCCTGTCTCCAAGCAGCCTGGCAGATCCAGTAAGACACTACACGACCCCATCAATGCACAACACCTCAATGTTTTTATTTGGTTTGGATTGGTTTTTTGAGTTTAACCTCCTTTCCTCTAACTTACTGCTTTGCTTCCTCATGTGTTTAATTTCCCTCGCCCTCTCCCTTTCCTGTATTGTGTATTATATCCCAGTAGTCAATACTAATTCCCAGCTCTTCAGGAGGAGTGAATTTCTGCCACACTAACAGAGACAAGCCAACAAGTTGTTACTTCTCTGGAGCGTACCGCAAGTGGATTATGGAACATCTTACGAGCTCTATTGACTTGGATGAAGTAAAACTGAGTACATTTTGCTGAGCCTAATTGGAACAGACATGGCCTCTTTCACATGTTATCTTGTATTATATGTCCCTTCATTCTTGCCCTCTCTCTCTCTCTCTCTCTCTCTCTCTCTCTCTCTCTCTCTCTCTCTCTCTCAACAAGGAAGAGACATCTGTCCATTGTGTAATGCATTTAGAGATCGACCTACTGCAGTGCTGTGTTGCTTATTGTATCTGAAAACTCCAGCCCACCGGAGAGGATGGAATGTGACCTAACCCTACTGTACATTATGGAGTTGTGTGTGTTTTCTTGAATGCAATCTAAAATGGCACATTTTCTTATTTTACTTGAGTCTTGCATAATCTAACATCAGAAATTTCAGCACACATCCGTATTATGTTGGTGTCTTTGATTTATATTCTGTATAGATGATCCTTCCCAGCAACATCAGAGCCTGTTTGTTTTTTTTGTTTTTTTTTTCTCTTCAGGTCATTCTGCCTCAAACCCAGCCTGTTCAAATGTGTATGTGCATGTATGTAGTGTGTGTGTGTGTGTGTGTGTGTGTGTGTGTGTGTGTGAATCTCCGTGTAAGCCAGATCCTGGGTGCTCACAGTGCCTCTCCCTGCATGACTCACTGGCTGTCTGTGCTGCACTGTGCTCAGCCAGACGGGAGGTGAGTTGGGGCTCAGCCTCCCAGGATGTGAGCTCCAGTAATGATTGGACAAAGCAGCCTCGGTCTCACAACCAATCACTAGCCTCCCCTCCGTCCTCCGTAGCTACCGCTGTATGATTGGTCCAGGTGTTGCAGGGCGAGGAATGGATAAATGGCAAAAAGAGACGAGATGGTGAATGAGGGGGAATGTCTCCTTTCACTGAGTCAGAAGAAGAGCGGGCTATTACTCATTCTTCTTCTGCTATTTTTATATGATATTCCTTACACGTACATATCGTGCACACTTATCTATTGGAAGTATTGTGAATGTGTAATTTTTTTTTTGCAGCCTTTCAATTTGCTTTGCTAATGTCTGACAAATTATCAGAAGTGTAGGGAAATGTGAAAAGACTGAGACAGGAAGTGGCAGGCATGTGCTCATTTTACAATAGTATTTCATCAATAAACAGTCATGGGCTCTTCCATACATATTAACATCATGTACGTCACAAGTCGTCCACCCCCACACTATCATACACATTGAAAATGAGCCTAGTAAATTACATGTAGAACAAAAACACCAGTTGTATAGTTGATACGCTAATCATGAATGGCATGTTCTATACGAGTCAAGCATCACTCATACAGACATATGAACATACAGCACAATATTTGCCATTGATCGGACAGTCCTGTTTTTCACTTGTTGCTCTAATCTTTTATTCAAGAGGTCATGTAAAGCTTTCAAACCCAGGACAGAGGCTCGACGCATCAAACTGAGTGTATGTGTGTGTGTATCATTCCATGGGCCCACAGTCCCACTGGACCCTACCATCTTCTCTGGGAATGCCACGAGTAGGACGGGAATGCACACTCACGCTCACACATTCCACATTTGGAATAATACACCGTCTTAATTTCTCTCTCTCTCTCTTTCTGTCTCTCTCTCTCTCTCTCTCTCTCTCCATCAGGGAAGGGGTGGGGATGGAGAAGTGTGGTTCTGTAATCACCGTGACAACCTCTGCCCAGTGTTTTAGTGGAGAATGGGACTTGTGTGTGTCTGCATATGAGAGTTTTGCGCGTGTGTGTGTGTGTGTGTGTGCTTGGTGCACTGGGTACCAGGAGACGCAGCATGAGCGTGTGAGTGAGCAAGCCAAACAATGGCTCTGATTTAGGCCGGCTGGGCAGTGGGTGAGCATAAGGCCGGGCTGAAACGTCCGTGGAACGCACCAGCGGAGGAATGGCATTATGGGCAGAATACAGTGAGGGGTCTGTGACAGAATGAGGAGAGACAGGGGAAGGGTGGTGGCATGCACCAGGACCTAAGAGCAGGGAGGGGAGGCTTCAGATAGGGGTGGTGAGTGTGTATGACAGAGGTCTTTTCTGCATCTGACAGAGCAGTGTTTGTGTCCTGTTTGGCTGAGGAATGCTGCTGTCCTGGGTGACAGGGGGGCATTATGTGGGCCTTATGTCATTACTGGGTGTCTTGAAGCTGCACACAGAGCTGGCGCGTCAAACGGCACACTACCAACATGCGTGACGGTCACATCAGGCGTGATACATGACCAGAAAATCTCGGTGCCCCGGGGCAGAAACCCTCCTCAGGACTCCTGCGTCGACTCGTCGGCAGATCGGTCCACTGACTTGAAGCTGAAGTTTCTCTCTCGCTCTGTTGACTGTAGATTTAAATGTAGCCTGTATAGGAACCAAGGATTTCGGTGTTTGCCTGCCAGCTGGAGAGCTCTAGAGGAGGACAGTATGTGTGTGTTTGTGTGTCCCAGTTGGAGGATGAGCTCGGTGCAGACGGGGAGAGGCAGCGTGGCGAGCTTGTTCAGCTGTGCGAGGGCTCGGAGGGTTAAATCCTGCCGAGGCTCTCTCATACACACACATACACATACACATACACACACACACACACACACACACACACACACTGCAGTCCGTGGGCTCTTTCTCACATACACACAATGAGGCTAAGACGCCCGGGGTTGGGGCTGGGGCCACGGGCTCTCGGTTCTCACACTCTGAACCAGTACTTCAACCCTGCCTGGGACTCGGTCTCGGTCCCTGTCACGGTGCTCAGAGTGGCTGGCCGCTCCACTGCTCCGTCGTCGTCATCATCTTTCCACTCACCATCATCATCTTCATTCTTGAAACATGAGGATTCAAGGAGGTATTTGATTTTGTGAACAACTCAGTATATTGTGCAGAATAGTGCTGTGTCTCTGTAGTGAATTTGTGTGGTGTGTGGTGGCTGGACGCTTCTTTGAACTCAGCTGGGAAGTAACAAGTTTGAGTTTATTTGTCTTCAGGCAATTTTTTGTTGATGCAAATTTTTTATTTGGGAAAATGTGCATTCATTGTTTGGCTGACAGGGGGTTCTGTTTCTTCTCATCCTATCTGTCTTTGCAGTTTCCCTATTTTTTTTCATTCTGTATCTGAAAACAATTCCCAAACTTTCTTTTCTTCCTTCATTCATTTTGCTCAATATGTTGAATGATTTCCTCTTAATCCCTCCTTTTCCAACCACTGAAGTCATTTTTTTTCCCTGTCATCTTACATCTTTCCTCCTTTTCCCGTTCAGTCCAGCTGCTGAAATCATCGGACCTTGGCCGCCATAGTCTGCTCTATCTAAAGGACATTGGACATGGCTGGTTTGGTAAGGTAAGATATGCATTTTTTTTTTCGTGTCTTTTTAAAACATTGACAAACTCACACACAGTTTTCGGGTGTGACATAGCACCTTCGCACTCATCACCCTTAGCTTGCAGCTGCATCTGCCCTTACTGTACTAACTGTACTCTGACGTGCTTTCTACTCTGTGTGGAATGCGAGGGTAATGTGATGATGATCTCATTCCAGCGAGGCTAATCTTTGGCACTTGTGTCAGGGTGTTGATTCCATGGGAGACTAGTTGAAGTTCACAGTCACAGTAAATTCCTGACATGTTATTCTACAGTACATGCTGCTAACCCCCCACCCCCCACCCTCCAATGTATATTTCTTAGGTTCTGCTGGGCGAGGTCAATGCAGGCCTCAGCACTACCCAGGTGGTGGTGAAGGAGCTGAAGGCCAGTGCCAGTGTCCAGGATCAGATGCAGTTCCTGGAGGAGGTCCAGCCATACCGGTCAGTTCATGGACACATCAAAGATCACACACCGCAGCCCTTCAGGCCATGAATAGCGTAGCAATAACACAAATAAATCAACAATCTGATTATCTATTGTATGTACGGCCTTTGTGCATTCATACCTGCTCAAATCTGTTTTTTTTTTCCTCTGCCAGGACCCTCCAGCACCCCGCCCTCCTGCAGTGTCTGGCACAGTGCTCAGAGGTTACTCCTTATCTGCTGGTCATGGAGTTTTGCCCACTGGTGGGGAAACAGTTTAATGATAAAAAAAATTTTGTTTATTCAGTCCTTCACACAAACCTCATTATTTCCTTTCTTGGTGCAGCGTTATTTGCTGTATTCATGAGCTCACATATTCATTTCACTTTCACCTTTCAGGGCGATCTGAAGAGCTACCTCCGCAGTTGTCGGGTAGCTGACTCTGAGAATCCTGACCCTTTGATCCTCCAGCGAATGGCATGTGACATTGCCTCGGGGCTCCTGCAACTCCACAAATACAACTTTATACACAGGTAGAGTATGAGAATCAGACCAGCTCTGTTTACCTTCACCAACCTGAATATCTTAATGCTCTTGAAAGGAAGACTCTGGCTGAATGGTCGGTGTGCCCCCTGCTGGTCTCTCCCTGCAACAACATCCTGGTGCTGCCTGAGTAGTTGTTACAAACTCCAGCATCAGTGATTTTGTTGCCGGGGGCGAGCCCCTTTCGATCTCTCTCAGTCGTGCGGTGGCTGCCATAGCAACCAGTCAGTGGCTGCCAGGCTAAAACGCTCCCTGTTTGTGGAGGAGGTGAGATTAAACAAAATGACTTAGTTTAGTCTTTTTGTATATGGTCAGACGAGAAGAAACAGTACATGATACTGTGCATGTACACATTTCATGCAACACTTTGATGAATACTGTGGTACTGTGGCTACAGGTTAGTCATAATGCAGTGATATATTTTAGTGGGTAACATACCTACAAAGCCCAAATCCATAAGTGGTTCTAACTAAAAGGCACTTTCTAGCACATAACACACTGACTGACAGGAGTGTAACAGTGAAAAATATACAGCGCTCGTAAAACTTTCAACCAAAAAAAGGCATACAGTGGGTTATGTTTATGCACAAAAGTGACATTGTTTTAGAAAGGTTCATCTCAGGGTTTCTTTCTTCCGACAGTGACTTGGCCTTGCGAAACTGCCTGCTAACTTCAGAAATGTCAGTTAAGATCGGAGACTACGGCCTTTCTCACAGCCGATACAAGGTCAGACTGTCTTTTGACAATGTCAGTATTTCCTGTCGTTCATGCGTTTTACCTTATCACCTTATCAGTACTCAAATGTTTTTTTTTTTATTCTTCTTCTGTAGGATGACTATTATGTAACACAGGACCAGATTTGGGTGCCCCTGCGCTGGATTGCGCCTGAGCTCATAGACGAGGTCCATGGAAACCTGCTGGTTGTTGACCAAACGAAAAGCAGCAACATATGGTGAGATATTCCAACAGTGACAAACAGGAAGTATTACTATAGGTTTATTGAGATAACACTACCATACCAACACAAATTAGATTAGATTACAAAAAAGCTCTTTTTTTTCTAGAAAAAGAGAAAGAGAAAACGATGCAGACTTGCTAGAATATTATTCAGGATGCTCATCTTTTTATTTATTTGTGTGAGGGTTTATACATGTAACACTACTAACAACATTTCCATTTCCTGTGATCTCTTATTGAAATATATGTAGATGTATATGTGTGTGTGGAAAATAGATACTTGCGACATAACATAAAGAAGGTTATGAAATGAACAGCTTGTTTTCAACATGGCCACATCTGATACATGAGCTGTGAACACACTTTGATCATTTCTTTGCCCGTTGCAGGTCGTTAGGGGTGACTGTTTGGGAGCTGTTTGAGTTGGGAAACCAGCCGTACAGACACTACTCTGACAGACAGGTGCTGACATATGCTGTGAAGGAGCAGCAGCTCAAACTACCCAAACCGCATCTCCAATTCCCTCTGGCTGAGCGCTGGTGAGACTTAGTTCCCTGTCCACACACTCAGGGAGACACACTGTACATACACATGCACACGGACTGACGCTCAGAATGTCGTAGACCTTGATACCACATGAGATACATTTTGGACTTTATTAGGGCTTCAAGTCTTACTGACCAATTCATTTCTAACTAGTCACTATATCTTGTTTTTAAAGTCGGTTTCTGGTCACAGCAGTGCACCAGTCCACTGTAGCGATATTTCTCTTTGCTAGCAAGAGCAAATGATCAATATGCTCCCTATTCTTTATGATCCCCTTGGCGTCGACCAGAGTTGAATCACCTCATTCATCTTGACCGGGGAAGCCAGCCAAATACCCTTTTTATTTATTTATTTTTCAAAATTGTTTCCCACTAAATTAAATGCGATTGGTATGGACATTGAAGACACAGACACACACAGACACACAGACACACACACACACACACACACAGACACACACAGACACACACACACACACACACACACACACACACACGGAGGAATGTAAACATCGTCTAACTATGTCAGCAACTCTACTGCATCTCCTTCATATACTCTTTATGTTATTGGCTAGTGCCATAAACCAGCGCTAGGTGTTGCTAGGAAGTGCTGACTTCAACACTTCTCTTTTATATTGCCTTATTGTTCATCTAGAATCTGTTCTTTAACATCTGCCTATTCCTCTCTCCCTTTAAATAATAAAAAAACAGATATTCTTAACGTAAATAAGTGCCTCACAGTGTATTTATATGCAGACTTAAGGGGTCTGATAATTTGTGTCTCTTCTAATCCCTTTTGCATCTGTTTTTTTTCCCTCTCTCCCTTCCCTCCAGGTATGAAGTGATGCAGTTCTGCTGGCTGCAGCCAGAGCTGAGACCCAGTAGTGAGGAAGTCCACCTTCTGGTCACATACCTGTGTGCCAAAGGCTCCAGTGAGGCTGAGGAGGACTTTGAACAACGCTGGAATGCCTTGAGACCAAACCTGCTCGGTAGTACCTCCCACACAGCTACATCCACAGCCCTAGTCCTGACCCCTACACCTGCACCAGCTGATGCCTCTGGTGCAGACAAAACTCAGACAGTGGAGCTGGCCTCCTCTGCGTCATCCTCCTTCCCCCTCCTGGAACACTTCTCCGACAGCTTCCACTCTGACACGGGGGACGACCTACTGACTGTGACAGAGACCAGCCATGGTCTCAACTTTGAGTACAAGTGGGAGCAGGCCAGAGCCGAGCAGCCGTACTGCTCCTCCTCCACCAGTGGGCCACTGGGCCAGGGGAACCCACATTACCAGGATATTTACTATTCAAGCAAAGGAAGCACCTCAGGGGGCTGCAAGACTGACAGCCTGACCTCAGGCATATCCCCGTCCTATTATGAGCCCGAACACCCCGGTGTGGTCCCAGTGTTGAGTGCCCACAGCCCCTCAGTCAGCAGCGAGTACTACATTCGCATAGAGGAACCAGTAGAGTGCAACATTAACCTGGATGACAGCGTTGTGGACTACAGCCCAGGACTGGAGGCCAGTAACAGCAGGTTGTCCTCTGAGAGTCGGACTGGTTCGTCCATGGCACAGCCCAGTGCTTATTGGTCAACCGCTGACAACACCAAATCTACTGCCTATGACTCCGATTCAAGCCCTACTGTTCAACTAACCATGGAACCACTGCTGAGACAGGCATCCAGCACCAGCCCTGTAAAGCTAGGCCACTCCCACAACTGCTTCTCATCCAATCAGGATGGCACAATCTTCTGCGAGCAGTCTTCAGCATACAAGACATGTCGCCAGTCCTGTCTATCTGAGCTGGACACGTCACCAGAGTCCCTATCCAACCTTGTCCATCCAGTGGGGCATTTAGAAAACACGCGCAGCTTGTCACAAGCTGTGAGCAGCCCCAGCTTAGGCTTTTGCGATCCCTACCTTGAAGCAAGCACAGGTCATAACACAGTAAATGAAAGCTGCCATAATATGATGGGTCCCCTCAGAAAGACACTACCCATTGTTAACCACATTAGCATTGACGTAGGAACAGACGATGGCCTGCTGGTGGGCCGGCAGAGAGGAGAAGACATTGAGGATGACCTTTTCCCAGAGGGGGACGCCACTAACTGGACCTCAAACCATTCAGCGAACAATAACAGCCTGAGCTTTGACAGCAGACAGACAGGTGTTGGGCATGACAGCTATCTGGACCTACAATATACTGCTCATTCTAACACAGCAGATTTATGGTCTTTAACCAAGGCCACCACCAGAACCTTCCACAGCTCCACATCTGGCACCTTGGAGGCAGAAGGAGCAGACACTAGTTGTAACGCTGCTAGTGAACCCACTGAATTCAGTTCATACATTCAATTATGTCACAAAGAAAGAAAGGAAACTGCTGCTCAAGTGGAAAGGAATGTAACTGCAGAAAATCTAAGAAATATTGATTCTCATACCAGCTCAAGTATTAATTCCAGAGGTACAGAAGGTGGAAGAGTGGAGGGGAAATATGAAAAGCAGAGACTGTACTCTGAGCCTAAGATGATTCCTGAGACGAGCTATATTAAGTCCCCATCCTCTTTCAAGGATCCTCAGGCTGCTCAAACAGGAGCCTTGTCAGAGAAGCAGAGAGGAAACATCTGGGAGGGGGTTTCAACAGGAATATCTGTTGTTCTGGGAGACAAGAGGCTAAACTATCCAGAGACATCAGAGAGTGGCAAAGCGCTGGATAGTAAAGTGAGGGTTAGAGAATCCAGCATTAGCCTGGCTGAGCTTGGCGACTACAGCGAGGATGATGAGGATGACATCACAGATATTACATCAGGTATCTTTGCCGACTTCAATCTAGATTATGCCGAGGTAGAGGAGGAGGAGCTAAGCCCGTTGAAGAATCCAGAAGGGACTCCTGACTCTGTAGACACCCTCAACCTGTCCTCATCGATTGCAAGCGCCTGTGACCAGGCCTTCAGCCCCGATCCCTTTAACACCCCCATCTTGCCCAAATCCCTGGACAGCGGCTACGACACGGAGAACAATGAATCTCCAGAATTTATCTTCAAAGAACTTGGAGATGTTCGGGGTGGTGAGAGGAGCCCTAGGCTGGGTGGAGAACCTGAACTTGTTCTGCAGGTGGGTTTAGGCCAGGGTGTCTGCACTTCCAGCAGCAGCTCAGAGCTACAGTTAAAGGGCCTGACTGATAAGAACCCGTACAGGGACTCAGCCTATTTCTCAGACTATGATGCTGAAAATGAGAGAAGCCCTCAAGAAGAAGGCACTAACTTCTTTTCAGGTCCAACTAACCATGACTTCCATGCTGGGAAATTGAGCTCTGTCAGAGATGACAATCCCATCGAAAGGCAATTCATTAATGAGGAACATTTAATAAATCTGAGACACATCAAAAATTGTGTTGTGGTGAATCTCTCAGAGGCTGATCCCAGTTCACCCCATCCCCTTCCCACTCCCGGGTTGTCCATGCTGTCACCGTTTCCCCCGCAGATGGGCGGCTGCCTGACCAAAGAGTCGGCCCCCGCAGATGATGATCTCGGTCTGGAGACAGAGCACTCAGGAGAGGAGCCTTCCTCAGAGCTGAGCTCCTCCATTGTGTCCGAACCCTCGTCCACTGTCCAGGAGGCCTCGGCTAACCATGAGGAGGGGAACAGGCGAGCGGGAGATTGCTCCCCTGTCCAGTCTTTGAATTCTGACTCCACCTTAACGGACTGCAGAGATGAGGCCCCCGAGGAAAATGAAAATGGCGACGGATCCACAGAGGAGGAGGAGCTGCCCGAATTCAATCACGTCAAGGATGAGACTGAGGACAGAAGGGAGGGTGTGAGGATAAATGAAGAAGATTTTGAGGACATAGATGCAGAGGAATGTGACTCACAGGACAGTTTATGTGAGGAATCCAACGGCCCCGTTGACCTGTCCACTTCCTCGTCGTTGCTGGAGCTGTGTGGGGAGGACGTAAGAGCGCCGCTGGAGGAGGCGGAGGATGAAGATGACTCTGATGACAGCGAGTCTGATGAAGAATTGAGGACCTACAACATCCAAGATGAAGACAGCGAGGAGAGCGAAGAGGATTTCACCGTAGTGCCGGTGGTGGTAAGCGACTGCAGCAGGGCGAGACACCTCCGCAGCCTCCTGAAGATGCCCACCCTGCTCACCCAGTCCTTCTGTGACGAGTTGGAGAGGAAGAAAAAAGCTGTGTCCTTTTTTGATGATGTTACAGTGTTCCTTTTTGACCAGGTACGACGGGTCAAAGTTGTGCACTGTGTATTGTCTACGTGTGTAGATGTGTGTATGTGAGGAATATTTTTGTTTGTGACTTCCAGGAGAGTCCCACGGGAGAGCTGGCTGACTACACCTTCTCCACAGGAACAGAGTCCATTGGGCAGGAGTCTTCAGAGGGAAACACCTCTGACCACCAGCTGCAACCTGACCCTGAACTCGAAGCTCAAACCTGTGAAACAGTCTGTGTTTCTGAAGAAACAGATGGGAACCACTCGGAAGAGGGTGAGTTTGTCAGGGACATAAAACCCCACACAGCAATCCTAGTTGATATATCCCAGATCGTTCTCCGTAACTGTGATTGGCTGTGATTTCAGATGGGGGTTTCCGATGGGGAGATAACCCTTCATTTGAGCCGCGCCCGTCTTCACCTGACACCATCCCTGAGCCCCGGTCCTCACCCACATCCACCTCCAACAGTCCTGAGGCTCCTAAACCTGCAGCTGTAGCACTGAACCGTTTTATGGTCTCACGATTCTCTATCACACATGTCTCTGACCCCCACATGGGCTCAGCAACAGGTCTGTACTAACTGTCTTTCATACACAATTTTGACTATTTTACCATGTTAATTCATTGGCACTGAATACCAACTCAAAGTCTCAAAAGTTGGACTCAATTCTTAAAAGTTTATCTGAAATGTGGCTGTTAAAAGTTGGAATTAACATCCATGTGTGACAAACATTGAGCTACAAAGATAGTCAGTGTATTGAGGGATATATTGGTGAATATTCGAGTGTTTGCAACAATACTGAGTCTAAAGATGGTGAGTAGAGATTTGAATTAAAAGTGGGAATGCTCAATTTTAAAAGCTACTTTTTGAAACATACAGTAAGCAAAAAGATTTTTCCTTATAGAGTTGTTCCGATACCGATATGAGAAAGTATCAGAAATGCCTGTTACAACTTAAAAATATGGTAATGGGTATCAGAGAGTACACAACAATCTGATACCACGTAATTTATTAACTATCTTTATAATTTCACACCTGGATAAAATGACAGTTTTCCCTGAAATCAATTCTTCTTTGCCACTCTAAAACAGTAGCTTACACAGGAAGTTGTGCTGTGCAGCCACTGGCAACTACTGTTTTAGAGCGGAGAACAATTAGATTTCTGGTTAATAGCGTAACGTTTCCCTTTAGAAATATGTTAAACTGGGAAGTCTCGCCAGTAAAAAGGACAACCAGTGCAGGAATGATCATTTATTCGTAGAATATTTATTGTATTAATATTTTTTTTTATGATTGACAATCAAATTAGATAAAAGGAGAATTCTATGGCATTGACGTATCTGTTCATGTTTAACCTGAGCCATGCCATACGACAATGATAGCAATCGTATCACATCCATACAGGGTTAGTAAGTATAGAGCTGTTCATTTTTTTTTTTTTTTCAATGCACTGGTATCGGATCAGGAATCAGTATCCGCTGATACACAAGTTCAGGTATCAGTATCTTAAAGGAACCAATGGTATCAGAAAAGCTTTTTCATTAGTCTCTATTGTAAATCACTTATTTCCAATCAATTATTTCCAACAGGGAACAGTGAAGACAGTCCAAAAGACTGAGTGTCCAATGGCCCCTGACTGGAGGAGGATGAGTCCCGGTCCTTCTCAACACAGAAAAAGCAGCATAATTATATCTAGATGTTTTACAGAGTTTTATTTTTATTGACGTCTGGGGCATCTGACCGTGGTGAGCCTTTATGAGACAGTGCCTCATATTGTAGTGAAACACCCTTGATGATTTGCACACTTTGTTCTTTATTTTAATTTTATGATGAAAGAGAGATATAGCTGCTGGTGTGGCCACCAGGAAATGGATCCAAAATCTGATCATATCGTTTGCAGCAAAACGAAACACCAATATATCAGTTTTAACACACAGTATATGACAGTAACTTGTGCTCAACGCAGCATCGATTTCTGTTGGTCACCTTACAGGTCATTTGATTTGTGAATTTAAAAGAAAGAAAATAAAAATAAAAGGAGAAAAAAATAATGACATGACAGGCTTCATAGCTGCTCCTCTCATTGGCTGCCTTGGTCCATGCGCTTACCATTGATCTGGCATTTTTCTAAAGACTGTTACAACTCTCATAGTTGGAGCCAGAAAACAATGCTTGACGATTGTTGCAAAAGATGCTGCGGTGGATTTCTAAACAAAAAATCAGAATCTTTTCAAAACAGTTGTGGGTGGTGGCGGTGACGGTGTTTGGAGATGGAGGTGCTGAAACTTAATTTGTCCTTTAATCCGATACGGTGTGTTATGTTACTGGAAACGCAACACGGGAAATCAAGGTGTTGTCGCTCCCTGATTATCACCACCACTCACTCTGGTTGATGATGACGTACAGTATATGTCTACTGTTCCCATATCTGTATGAAGCACTTTGTTTAAGCCAAACTGGGTCTTTATTTGTAGAAGTGTTGCTCAGCATCTCCCCCTCCCCCCGGAATGAAATATCTAAACATGTGAGATCCCTCTGTTTGTGTCCACAGTGCCAGCTACAGGTTCACTTTATTTTGTGGCATACTAGCTTTGTTCAAATGACATTTCATCAGCAATAGAATGACACCAAAGGGACGGAGTGGTGTTTCCTCACGGTTCAGCGGTGTCATGTCAACATGCCAGTCATAAATGTTGAATGTCAGTTATCTTTATGGATTTTGTTCTACATCTACATATTGCGCATAGTATCATACATAATGTATTCTATTACAGTTGTGCTGAATGCCAGGGTCTGAGGTGTACAAAAAAAAGAAAAAAGAGAAAAAAAAAAAGACATTCAAAAATAGGACATATCTCACATATTGTATGAATGTTATATCAACATGTAGCAGATAGCTCGACTTGAATTACTACTGCTGTATCGACGGCTCCCTCCCCTCTCTCTCTCTCTCTCTCTTTCTCTCTCTATCCTTCCGTAGCTCAAAGTGCCAATTCTGTTTCCTCTCACCTTGCCTTTTCAGTTCTGCAAGAAGAGAAAACGTCGCTAGTATTTTTGTACAAGCATTTGAAAAGATGCAATCCAGGGTGATAAGTCTCTCAAATTTGCCAAAGAGATATTACAAGGCCCATTGGCTATAAACGTGGCAGACACCTTTTTTGGAGAAGGTGAGGCGGGTTGTTCTATGCACCGGTAGTAACATCATTGCTGTTTCCATTTCTCCCTCACTCATGGCTATTGTACTATCCCAAACAAATAAATCCAAATACTTTTTTCCCCCGTCTTGTGTTTGTGATATATTTATCTGTATTGATGTCAAACAAGTGCAGTTTTCTGTAAAAAAATAAATACATAAATAATAATAAATAATGAAAAACATGGCACAGCACAACACATAAAAAGGTATGACGTTTGTGCCCATTTAGATTTATTTTGGACAGGATAATTTATACACACTTTCTGTACAGTACAGATATAATACAAACAGGGACGAAGGTGAGAAATGGACAAAATGAAAGCTATATAAAAAGTAAAAAATGCATTGGAAACTTGCTGCACAAATGAGCTGTGTAATAAAAGCGCGATCATATCACTCAGCGTAAAGGACTCATCCATGGAAAATTCACTTTTCGTGATGTAACCGTTGAATTAGTGCAGAGGCATTTTTTTTTAGCTCACTGACATCCATACACATTCTTGCTGTTCCATCACATACAATTTCACTATCCCCCACATACATACATATATATATACACACACACACACACATATATATATATATATATGTGTGTGTGTGTGTGTGTGTGTGTGTATATATATATATATATATATATATATGCCTCTGCTCTACACTCTCCTCCATGATGAGTGTATAATACTGAGAATGAATGATCAAAAGCTATGATAATACTGTACCTTATCTGATAAGCTACCACTCCCTCAAAGCTAAATATTTAAAAAAAAAAAAAAAAAGTTCCATTATGTATGCACTGTATTTCATCTCCTGGCAGCTTGGCTATCACTGAAAATCAAAGAGAAAAAAAATAGCAATTCTAAATATTCTTGTATCATTTCAATTGAACTGTACTGAAGCTTGCTAAGCCAAAAAAAAAAAAAAAAGCAACATTACAAGTAAAAAAAAAAGGGGGGGAAATATTCCCAGTTTACAGAATCATTGGGTCAATGCATGAAGCCTATGGTTAAAAAAAGGGAGAAGAAAAAAAGAAAAAATAGAAGGCACAGTTCCCACATTGAAAATCTGGGTATACTGTATCACAACTAGTAAATATAGAGTACTATATCACTTAACAAAAGCAGAATTACAGTTTACTCAGCAACTGTCTAGTTCTAGCTTTCTGTCGCAGTATCCAGTCTACACTTTGTCTTCAGCGCGTATTACAGTGATTCACTGAAAACAGTTAGTGACCATCTTATCTCCACCCTAGCCTCACGTAAAACAGCTAATGCAGAGTGTGCCTTCACTGCTCATTAATGTAAAGAATCCTCAAATTAAATTTACAGTGTACAGTGTTGAAGGAAAATCAGAAATCCCGTTAGTAGAAGTGCAGATAAATAATAATGTGACAGCATCACTAGTAAAAACCTATTAGCCAAACCTTATCCACAACTGGTGTGATCTAAATAACTAATACAAATCTACTGTCACACTTGCACTTGAATGTTCAGGCTGAGACATTCGATGTTTGTGGAAGCGTTCGCAAAACATCACGAGAATTAACTGGAAAAATTCTCTGAGTGAATTTCCACGGCAAAGAAACTAGATTCCTAGAACTGTAAAATGGCTTTTGAGGTTATTTTTTTTTTCTTTTTTTCTTTTTTTTTACCCTCCAAATCACACAACTTAAACATGCCAGTGTCGGCCATTTTCTTTCTCCCCCTTAAGAAAGTAAGGGCCCATGAGTGGAGAAAATAGGGGACAGCAGGCCGCTAGTAGAAGATGGGTGCAGATCGGTCGTCAGTGAAGGTGGGCCGGAGGTACACCTCCAGGGAACGGTCACTGTGGGGAGAGGAGGGGTGGGGCAAGGAACAGTGACAGTTAGGTTGAAGACGACACAAAATGTAAAGAGACACATGGTCAACTATGTAACCACACCCAAAGAAATCTGCCTTCCCTCAAGGTTTGTTTCTTTAAAAAAGTTGAGCAAACAGTTGTAGTGTCTATTGTGAGTTTTAGCAAGCATGTGGTGAAAGAACTCTAGTTAAAAAAAAAAGAAGAAATACAGCTTGTAACGGGCATGCATGCAGGGTTAGTGTCTTCTCTGTATAATAACAACAATAATAATAATAAAAGAAAAATCATCAGTAATTCTTTTACAACCCAAGGCCTGCTGGACTGACTGAACCAAACGCAGCCATATCCGTGGAGGCCAAAGGACAGAAAAGACCAGTGATTCCCAGCATCCTACTGCAGCCAGACAGCCAATGACAGCAGAGAGAATAGAGAGAGGGAGAAAAGTGATTGGTTGGCTGAAAGGCAATGGAGGCTGGTGACTTACGGAGGTCCTGTTCCCTCAGAACCGGGACAATTCTGGACCCAAACTGGAAGGTAAAGAGAACCTTTGGGTTTGAATGGCTCATCTCTCAGATCATGCATGGGTCACATTTTGTAACGACACTGCTGGTTAGTCTGGTGCAAGACGAACATACCGTAGGTTGATAATAATAACTGTAACTGGAATGAGGGATGGAAAACAGAAGTACACACTTCATGCTCAACATGCCATATAAAAGTCCTATATGCTCCTTTTCAAATCCTAAACTACATGAGGGAATGTGTCTGCAGCTCATCTTAGTGGACATACATTTTGCTAGAAATGCAATGCAATCAACAGGCAGGTGTTCTGAAGTACTGTCTGCTAAAAGTAGTGCACTGTCATCTCTATAACCCAAACACAACTCAAACACAAGCCAAAAGAATATCCAAAAAATAGAGAAATAATAAGAGATAAGCAGGCAGGCGGAGTTCAGATACTCAAAATACGCATACTATGCATACACAACACCACCACACACACACATACATACATACACACACACACACACACACACACACACACACACACACACACACACACACACACACACACACACACACACACACACACACACACACACAGACATTGACACAGAGAGCAGCACAGGTGCCATGGGTGTTACTGAGGGAGGGGTAAGGATGAAACTGCATGCTTAGGTTACAGCTGTGGCTTGGGATGATTCACACAAAGGTGGCAGTGTTGGGAAAAAAAAAAGAATTAATTTACACATTTAAGGGGGAAAAAAAAAATTAGTTCAGAGCTTTAAAAACTTTGAAACAAGGAAAATATTCAACAGAACTGAAAATGTCATGTAATGTCATGTCATCGACAGAACAGATTTCTCGTCAGACCAGACTGTTTATTAATATATAGAGATATGTTTTATTTAGAATACCTTTGTAAAAAGTCACCATACATTCAAGGTCAATTTTTAGTATCACATTTTTCTGGTTTCCCTCCACAGCATGCATAAGATAAACACTTCAACTAATCAGTAGTTTCTCATTGTTTCTGCAAATATTTTTTTTCTTTTTTTTTTTTTTTACAAGGACAATAAAGTTTTTAAAAGAAAAGACCAAAAAACTACATAGCCACTCAGGGAATACAATCATAAATAACACTGAGAGCTGCAAGAGCCGTGGTTGTGGTTTAACCTAGAACTAATTCACAGCTGTTATTTTGAGGATATTCATCAAAAATGAAAGATCAAAAAGCCCCCTCCGAACTCACTGTGGCTTCAGAAGAAAAAAGACCAAACTGCAGGTTTACCGGAGTGAGGCTTTTTATTTTAACTGACAATTCTGGCAGTAAGTTCAGCCTAGAGGGGGCGAATAAATAAATAAATAAATAAAAAGGTTTCTGTGGGGCTTAGTTTTAAGTTTAATTCAAATTTTATAAGAAAGCCTGTTTTTGCAATGATCATAATACAGTGCAATTTGGTGGACTGACGGAAACAATTTATATATTTATATATCTATATATATATATATACTGTATATTCTTGAAGCTCAGTTGGAAAATTTGCTTCATTGCACATAAAGTGTGTGTTTAATAGAAAAAAAAAAAAAAAAAAAAAAAAAAAAGAGAAGCAAAGTAAGGCAAATATGACACACACCCTCTGGACGGAAAATCATGTCTAGCAATGACACAAGGAAGCACAGCGCGACCTACGGGATCTCTCAGAACAGAAACATAGTAATCTGCTGCACAGCCTTACTTTGAACAAAGCTTTTTTTTTTTCTTTTTTTTTGAGCGTGTGTGTGTGTGTGTTTGGTGGGAACTCGATAATACTGGGCCCACGTGTGCTTAAAAAGGCCATTCAGCCAGTGGCTTTAGTACAACGACATTGAAGTCTTTTGGCACTTGTACAGTACATGAACATGTCCTTTAGTTTGACGAAATGACACAACCATGTACATGCATGAAAGACAAGCAGTAGCAAAGGCAGTCTCTTGAGAGATCAGTCCGTGATGGTGGACTGTGATCAGAGATCAGAGTATTCAGAGTCCATATCGCTGCATGCCGAGCAGGTAGGGCCCGCTCTGGCTCTCTCGCTCAACGCAATCCTCCACCCACCAACCGCTACTGTCCACACCGACACCACCAGCAGCAGCACCCAGGATGGACGGAAGGAGGAAAGGAGGGACCCGGGGAGGAAGAGAGGACAGAAAGGAGGGATGAAACTGGCCTCTTCCACTTGGAGAAGAAGGGGTGTGTGTGGAGGCAGGAGGAGGAGAGGTGGAGATAAGTAGACAGGAGGGAGGAGGCTAAGAGGAGGGGAAAGATGGGGAGGAAGAGGCCCCTGTGCTATCCGGAGCTGTCTGTGTCTGTCTGTATGTCTGTTCTCACACAGTCGAAATCAATTTGCCATCAGGACTGTCACTGTGGAACAAAGAGAGAAGGAAGCTTGCCAGGTCGGACACACTCAGAGAGAAATGAAGACAAGACAGGCACAAGGAGGCAGAGTAGAGTTTAGGAGAAATGTAGGTGGGGTCAGGAAAAATCTACTTCGCCCCACCTACAGCTACAACTCCAAACACACCTGCCGTGATCAGGAAGATTGGACTTCCAATTCCCTCATCAACACTTTTTTTTTTTTTTAAATCCAGAAATATTTGCTGATTGCATATTGTTGCCCATATTAAAGACGTTTAGTGAAGGTTCGCCTCTACCGGTCACTGAAAAGTAGACAAATGCTACAAGTTACTGTTGATGAGAAAATCATCAAGTCATCTCCTTAGCTGGAGGGATGTAGTGTTAGATTAGTCTGTTGGGGGTGAATACACCCTGCAGGACAGTTTTGTCTCAAAAATACTGATACAGAAAAAAAAACACACACACACATTCAGAGCAGACAAGAGTATGCAAAACAGCTTGACACTGGTGCCCAAAGCCCCAGGCTGGCAAGCAGTGATGACTGAGATGAGGTCAGCATGATGTCTACTGTCACAACATGTACTCCACCAAACATGAGTGCACATACACTCAAGGCCATGTCTCTCTCTCTCTCTCTCTCTCTCTCTCTCTCTCTCTCTCTCTTTCTCTTCTCACACACACAAACAAACATTTCTGTACATATACACAAGAATGTACTCCCTGATTGGACAGAAACAGGCACAGCATAATTCCTAACCCTAACCTCACATAACCCTAGTGAGTCAGCAAGGACTTGATAGGATTACAGTTAAATTACACTGGGCCAAGAGCACGCTGACTATAAACTGAGACACTGACCCCACTAGACTGCATTCATTACTTTAAAGAGCTATTTAAAAAAAATAAAAAAAGGAGCAAAGAAGAAAGGACAAAGAAGACACAGTAAAAAATATTCAAAGGGAACAATGTGAATACATCTGACAAGGTGGGGGTTTTAAAACTAGAGCAAAATTAAATGTGTCGCTTGAGCTTAACTCTAGCCCTGAAAGTCCTGAAATGATGAACGGATTAACTGAAGCAAACAAAGCTGAACATCTTGTTCTAGATTCTATAATGTCAGAATTTGCTGTTTTCCTCTGTTTCATGTCACTGGAAATTGATTATCTTTGTGTTTCGGACAAAACTAGTTTTTGAAGACAGCTATAAGAAACTGTTTTACAGACTCAATGATTAATGGAAGAACCCCCCCCCCAAAAAATAAAATAAAATAAATAAAAGAGCAAATAATAATAAAAATATCCAATAGTTTCAGCCTTACTCCTCATACTATGTAAATGTGGGTGAGTGTACTATATATTATATGAGTGTATAATATAGCATCCCAATTCCTCCATACTACATACTAACGGCATACAGAATATACTATACTCTTTGCATAGATAAGATAAGAAACCAATGTAACATTTCTATCACAAATAGATGCAAAATGTGACATCAAGATTAAAAGTCACAAAACAAAAGCAAATCATTCATGATAAATACTTTGTTCTGTTTTTCACTGGCTCCACCAGCTCAACAACAACATCATCATCCACGACACACTAAAAGAAATAAATCTGCACTGTTTTCTATCCATACTGAGTTATTGCGATATACAGAGTGCTTTTATACACACTCAAAACCTGCTTAGAGTGTGTATGTAGCATTAAATTGGGACACTGCGTATGTTAAGCAGTTGCCTTGCTGTCTCTTCAGTGTTCCAGCTTGTGCGTGCAGGAGCCATTTATCTGAGGCTGGCCTGCTCTCGTATCTGCTTCTTAGGAAGGTTCGGTACTTCCACTAAACTATCCAAAATAAGCACTTCAGATGGCAGCGGCAGTCATACAGTATCAGTCATTTCTTAAAAAAGGGAAGGGCAGAAGAGGCACTTACCTTGTGGCAAAGCGGCCGTCATAATCCTCAATAGCAGGCTGAAAAGATAGAAGTAACATTCTTCACTTTGTGTGCCTAGGACTGAAGTACCTGCTGTACTTGGATACAAACACTAGGTGGCAGCAGAGACTGAGCAAAAGTCTCCTTTTCTGTTACTGCAGGATTACTCATATCCAATTATGCAACATAAGACTAAACCAGATGGGAGGTTACAAATTAAGCGTAACAAGTGTAGTAACTGTATTGTTCATAGGGCACTACACATGTTAAATTGTACCTACCTGCGTGCCAAAGCCTGCCATGCTGTAAGGGCGCGGGCGAGTCTGCGCTAGGCTCTGTGCCAGCAGTCGGGCGGTCAGGCCGTAGTCAGGTGTGGGCAGTGATGCATCGCTCTCCAACAAGTTCCCTGTGCTGCTACTTTTCCCATGGTGCAAACTGGAGAGGTAAAAGAAGACAAAGGCCTCAGACATTTAGTCGACATACTGTTGTATGTGGGAAAAAAAAAAAAAAAAAAAAAAAATGCAACGTACTTCACTCTGAGCTTCTCATTGTCGCTTTCAGGGAGCACACGTGTGTAGGAGAATGGGAACCATCCACGCCTGAAAAGAGGGAAGAACTTGTTAAATGTATATTGTACTTTTGATGTATCTAACTGTGGGACAAATATTTATCCAATCTCGCTGGATGGATTCAGGCGAAATAAAATAAACTGCTTACATCTTGTTCTTCTCATTCTCCCCGTAGTGCCAGCCATCGCGGGCTTCAGGCACTAGCAGGGTAATGACATCTCCCTCGGAAAAGCTGAGCAGGGTGCCGTTGTCACCCGCGGCGTGGGAGAAGATGGCCTGGACACGGGAGCGCCCGTTCTTTTCCAGGCCTGCTGCCATGGAACTGGACCTGGGAAGGGTCCGTGTCTCACCTGAAGCGTTTGCAGACAGACGCAGATGGTCAGAGACATACCTAACATTATTAACAGTTCAGAAGCACACAAGCTCAGAATAGCTGGTGTCTGCGGAGCAAACTGAAGGTGAGATTTAGGCTCAGTCAGCAGCCAGGCAGATGTCCTAAATTTAGAAATATGGTAAATGCGCTTTTGTATAGCATTTGTAAACATCCATATCTCACTGCCGGATTAACTGGTATAATCACCATAACCATCTGAAACAATAGTTGAAAAGATTATGCTAATATTTCTCCCAAATCTTGTTGCTAAGAAGACGCTGACAGTTGTATCTGCCCCGCCTTTGGGACACTGAAGAGCACTGAAGATGGTAGTTGATGTCAGTCTAAATGCGACTGCCCTATTTATATGATGTTAAAATGCTTCTCAATATATTTGGAAGTAAAATGAGAAGAATCGTTTTTGCCGTTCTGCTTGTGATTTTCTCGCTGCAGTGCTGCTGCTGCTCATTAAATTCTAGGGAGCGTTGGGATATCTTACCCACGGGGTTCTTATTCTTGGCGGGGGCAGGCCTGCGCACAGGGAGGGTGTTGGAGTAGACATCGCTGACCTGTCTCTGAGGCTGAGCCTGGGACGGGCCCTGCGCCTGGGTCTGAGGGGATGAAGGCCTGACTTGAGACACGGACATAGTCCCCCCATCCGTCCAATATTCCTCTCCGTGGACTCCTGTTGTCCCATTGACCATGGACATACCATCAGGACCCATCAGCCTCTGGAGTAAATGAGCAGACATATGTATTCAAAATGGCTCATCCTGCAATTCTACAGCAGCCATCTTGAAACATTTAGATGAAGCTGAAGCGATGATATGCGTTTAGATTAACATCTGCTGCGTTCGTATAAATCAATCCTGATAAAGAGATAAATCATAACTTTGAAGCTGACGTCGGAGATTTTAAAGTCTAGTGAGAGTTCATCTAAGTCTAGTCTGTCAGCTGCTGCCCGGCATGAAATGTAGACTCTACACAGCTCATTAAGTTGAGTGGCATCTTTAAACCGAGACTCTCTCCGATTTGCTTCTTTATGGAGGGCTGAAGGAGGATGAGCAGACATTAGGACAGAACTGTTAGCTGTTTCACAGTGGTGCTACTGCAGAAAATCGAGTGAAGTAATCCCAGTCACGTTCCACAGTTCTCTCGAGAAAGGGGATTTCTGTATAAAAACACCCTAATTTAAATCTGTGATGTTACACTCAAAACTGTCACTACAGATCATCATCAAGTTTCATATTTGTTCTGGTTTCAACTTATCCTCCAATAGGTTGGCTAGTAATCATTTGGTTATCCATATAAAAACAGCAGCATATTGATTATAACAAAAAAAAAAAATACACAACCTTAAATAAATCAAATTGTGGCATGTTTTCATCCCCTATTTCCTAAACTCACCGCTGGATGCCCAAGGCCACTGCCCATGAAGACGGCCAGCTCCGGGGGCACAGGAAGAGGCTGGGCTCCAGGGATGGGGTCTGAGATGACCAGGTTGGATTTGGAGGTATGCAGGGGGCTTGTCCCGCCAAGGGCGGCAGAGCCCATCTGCTGGGCCAGGAGCATGGCCCTCTCTGGCAGCTTGTTGGGGTCTGAACAGGCCTGTTGCCACACTGGGATCTTCTGGGTCAGAAGGTCTTTACCCTGAACGGAGGAACGAAAGATTGAAGAAACACAAGAAAAAAAAAAAAAAAAAAAAAAAAAAAAAAAGAATAGAAATACAAAGCATGCAAGAAAGAGGAGATGTTGATGTGGCTGAAATGTGCGGGGAAAAGAAAGCTCAGTGAAGCAGTTTCTTTGCTCAACCTTCAATTTCCTCCCTATTCTCTAAAAACACTCGGTCCTCAAAGATTTTTCCTCACTGTGTATCCTAGACCACTGGCCTTTGCACAGCTATGATAATGTGCTGCGTGGGTGAGCCAGTCGGACAGACTGACACACAACCAAGCTCCCCACTGCAGCGTCTCACAGCCTGTGGACGCGGCTATACTATAGAAATAGAATTTAATGTGTACATTGTGTATGAATGTACAGTGTATATATATATATATATATATATATATATAAAGACAGGTTTGTCCCTTTGTATGTGCTAATTTGTAGCACTCACACAAAATACACACACAGACGAACACACACTACGAACCCTCTGGGAGAGGGTTCTTCAGTTTGCTGAAGGTGAACTCTTCCTACGCACACCCCCAATCCTGATTAATGACTAGACTCCATGTTGAAAAACGAAGCAGCAGCACAGTCCACACACACACACACACACACACACGCACACACGCACTCTCCTCCTTCAGCCACATCTTCAGGCTGGCAGTTCACACCTACCAGTAATCCCAGGAGAGAGATGTACTCCATTACCCAAGAATTTGATATTCATGGGTAATGGATAGGTGTACATCTTTAGTACACACACACACACAGAAAAAAAAAGAAAAAAAAAAAAAAGACTAAATCCTGCTTAATAACACTCCATTACTTCTGATGGGATGATATAGAGGGGAATCTGTTTGGATTCTTGTTGTTGACTGTCGTTGTAAACAATACGGATGAGAAACATTCTGCAACTCTCGTCCCGTTCATTGCACCGAGCTTTGATTCCAGTCCATCTTACTCTGGATTTCGCATTTGATGCCTTTTTCTTTCAGTCGTTCACGAGTTGAACGAGCGAGGCAGTCCTCTACACAAAAAGGTGGAGAGACGCTCGACGGTGCAATGATGGATTACAGCTTCAGATATGCCCGTCAGCTGGGCATTGTCTACAGTCTTAATGAATTTTTAAAATGAAGAGGCCCCTATGAGCGGTCAAAGCTAATGTGACTTTGAATTATATATCTCCTCGTATGCTCTTTTGGCTGAACAATGGTCTACGGCAGGTGAGTTCCAAATAACACAGAGCTGACAGATGAGGAGTAGTTGGCTGTGATCAGCACAATAGCACAATGGGAATAAGTAACGTTTTAGAAATTGACCTAACAAGCTCTGCACATGCACCACAATGAACACAAACATGTTTGTTTTGAGTTGAAAGCTCAAACGTACTGGAGACAGGCTAAGCTCCACTTCTTACTGAGGTGCTACTGCAAACAAGTGCTTTATGGTTAAACCATTTATTCATGGGAAAACTTATTTTGGCCATAAACTCATATCATTATTAAAGTCCTTTTTTTTCCAAAATCAACTTCTTGCGACGAAGCCCCTCACGCACATGCTATGTTCTGCCAAAGGTCAAACAAGGTTTGTATATTTCAAATGAGAGATGCCCACATCTGTTGTTTTGTCCTTTTCTTTCTCTCCAATTTTACAAACAATGATGTCATGCATTTCCTGTGCAACAATCAGTTCTGCAACATTTGAATCAAAATATGATGACAGTTGTGGGGTTGTTTGTTTGTGTTGTCAATCACATCAGACACAAGTTTTTCAGTGGAAAAAAGTCTTAAACTCCTTATTTAGTCTAGTATATAAATACTTGAAATTAGAAAGTTTTGGGGTTTTTTAGAAGGGCAGTATTGACTTAAACAACTGCAGCTATTCTCACTCTTTATCCATCGTCTTTAGTAAAACGCTTGGACTCACCTTGCCATGGTAGGCACTGCTGTTTTTGGCCACGGCACACTGGCGGTCCACCAGGAAGCAGTACCTACGACGCTCCTCAGACAAGGCTGTTTTATATCCCTCGGCGATGAAGGTGTCCAGCTCGGTCTGCTTACTGCTGATGGTCTCCACAAACTGAAAGGGGAACACACACACAGACACGTGGCCATGAGTACAATTTAAAAACTGTGACACGTATTTTTTATTTTTCCCCAGACATAATATTTCCAGAAATCACCATCATTTAGCATTACAATTTTCTAATAAATACTGTCTTTTATTTCATATGCCTAATCATTTTTTGATTTAGAGCTTTCTGCTGAGATAGGTAGAAATAGATTTTGGTTACTTGCACAGTCGGTCACTTACAGCTTAGAAAAAAAAAATGCCTAAAGCCATTTTTCACATTAGGTTGGTAAGGCCAATAGACAGAAGGTCTGACAAGGACAGTGTCCAAGCAGCTGGCTAACATCTAAATCCTTTTTTTTTTTTTTTAAATAACACACTGCTTCACATTCACACAATTACACACATTCGCACCTAGGAGCTGCTCAGTGCAGCGCAGTCTTGTACTGTCAATCTCTGCACAGCTCCACTGGAGCAATTAGAGGTTAAGTGCACCTTGGCGGTAATAGTTGTGCAAGGAGAGAGCCTCACTCAGTAACTTTCTCTGGACAGATTTTCCCTGCCGAGTGCTACCGAGGTGGAGGCAATTATGACTGAAGATTCCCGTGGTGTGGAGGAGGAACTGCTCACAAAGACCCACTAATCCATTTTTACAAGTGGGACAATAACAAATAACAGGTGTCTTAATGTGTGTGTATGCGAGTGAGTGACAGACAGAGAGAGAGAGACAGAGAGAGAGATCCAGAGCTGTCAGTTTGCCTTAACAGGAGCTCTCTAGAACAGGGGAAATGTCTCACCGAGTTCACTAAAAACAAACATGTACGTACACACACACACACACACACAGTGGAGAGAAGCTACATGGAGTCTCATTTTGAAGAGGAAATGGCATTTAGGTGTTTCTGTGAGTGCGTGCACGCTGCACACGCTCGTCAGGCACTGTATTTACAAACAGCAGAGTTTGCATGTCGTCAGCTGAAAGTTTGAGACACTGCTCGTCTCAAAGTAGGTCGACTGAGCACAGTTTCATGGCTTTGATATTGTAACATCTGCTGATAAATACTGACCTAGAAGAGAGTGTTATATTTACTGGCGTTGATTTGATGTCAAATGAACTTTTCTTGTGGTGGTGGTGGTGGTGGTGGTGGGGGGGGGGTTTGAGGTCACAGGGGGAAAACCTCTCACATATAATTTGAACGAAGTAACCATACACACATAGGTTTCTTTAAAATAAACCCGTCTTGTCATATCATCAACTGCATGTCGCAACATGCAACTTGAAAACCCTGCCATATTGCAAACACTGGATCACTAGTTCCACTCTCAGTGCCAGAGGGGAGGAAACTGACATAATCCATGTTGTTGTTGATGGTGCCGCATGTTGAGTGTTCTCCACACATTAGAGCACAGTTTAGAAAAGCCTTACGTTATACTGCGTTTGCTCTTTGCTCCTCTGGTGCCACCACGCAGTGCAGATGCATTTCATTTAATAACCACCAGAGCACACTACTTCCCCGCTGCCACGAGGTTACTTCATTGGAATTCCAACGAAGGAATAAATGATACTGAACACAAACATCTTGAGGAATGGCCTTTTGCATTAGCGCTGGAAGAAATCCACCGACACCATTACACAAATCCGCGCAGCCAAGTTGTCAAATCAAGGAAGGGAAAGGATGAAAGTATGATGAGCGTAGCCTGACCTTATTCTGTTCTTTCTGTACAAGCTCAAGCTCAAATTAAGTGCTTTGAAACTGGTTCAGTTAGTTGCTTTGGTTCTATACAGGCAAAGCCTCAAGTTGAGCATCGTCTCAACAAGGTGGGTTATGAAGGGAGGAGCAAAGTCATGCTACTGTAGATACACTGGAGCTGCCAAGTTTTTTTTTATTTTTTTTTTTATTGGTTTTTATTTCTCCTCCCTGTCTTTTCCTTTCCTGTGAAAAAGTTAAAGATAGTGATTTTGTTTTGGCATGAGTCATTCTCTATACTGCAGAGAGAGAATAAAGAGAGGAGGGAGAGAGGAGAGAGATATGCTGTAGTGAAGAAACGTCTAACACACACACACACACACACACACACACACACACACACACACACACACACACACACACACACACACAGACAGCTGGACGTTCAGCTAATAACATTTGTGAATGGCTCTTTGGTTATATCAAGGAAGCAACATAACAACCGTTTAAAAGATCACAACCAACTTGGCTTCCCCTTTTCTCCCCTCCCCTCCTCTCTCACTTTGTCTCTGTGGTGGAGTGACCCTTTTGTTTTTCTGTTTTTTTTTTTTTTTTTTTGCAGCCTCTGACTCACAGTCTGTTGGCCTCTCTAGCACTTCTAAGCACAGCTAATAGGAGCAACTCAACCAGTGTGCCCTCTCCTCTTGTAAAATCCACATGGCCCAATTCTCCAACCATTGGAAAGGTCGCCAAAGTAACCCAAGACACAATGAGTGAAGTGGGAAAAGCCCAGGGCAGACACCAGCCACTTGTATATATCTGATCGACCTCAGGTTACATCATAGCCGGAATGACTTGTTTTGCAAAGGTTATGAATATAAATGAAACCTGCCGCACGTCAATGCAGTTCTCACAGTCTGATCAGCAGTACTGCCTTTCTCTATGTTTGTGTCCCCTCGCACTGACATATTCGGGACAAAGCATCAGCGATGTGACATTCTACCTTTTACTCCTGCACTGTATACCAACACAGTTCCCAGTAATTACAGGCACGGAGGAAGAGAGGGAGGGAGGGTGGGGAGGTAGGTAGATTCACAATCTTCAAAAGGCAGCGAAGCATACAGTAGGGTTCACAACAACAAAACTAAACACTCCGTTTCATTCCTGTGGGGATTCAAAAGCATTTTCCTGTACAGTTGAGAGCTGCTTAGGTCTGCTCTTCTGTTCCTTCATCATCAGCACTCTTTGGATTGAAGAGAATTGTATTGGAACGCTCTAGGGCACCACAGAAAGCACCAACACCTACAGTACCTGCATGGATCTGCCGTGTGTGTTTGTCAATGCTTATCCTTTTCCTGCATCTGTATGGATATATCCAGCGATTAATCCTCGTTTCAATCTGCTGAAGAAACCCCAGAGCTTATCAAACATCTGATGACATAAATTCAGACTCCTGTCTCTCCGTCTCTTTCTATCTGTCTGGGCCTTTATTAACAGCCTGCGCAGCGCAAAAGGAGTTTATCTAGATGAAGCCCCTTTCGACGGCACCTTGGTCCACTCCACTGAGCTACATAATGAGATGATTAGCATTTTGGCAGGGGCTTTACCCATTGATGAGATGGCACAGAGAAAGAGTCTGAAGGCAGAAGAGAAAAGGGACGAGAGGGAAGACGGACAAAAGAGACAGACAGAGAAGTGGGTGGGACATGAGCGAAAAGTGAGGGAGAGAAAGAAGAGAGAGAGAGAGGAGCAGGGAGAGAGCGATCAATGAAATGCATCCGCCATCTGTGTCCGCTGCCAGACTGAGCTCAGACATACTTTACTTTTTAATGAAAAGGGAAGAGATGAAAAAGAAAAAAGAAAAAAAGAAAAACTTAGTGCCTCTCATCTGCTAAAAAACACAGATGCGGTGAAGATGGAGGAGGAGGACGAGGAGGAGGAATTGTTGAGCTCCCCTCAGCAACTTCACTTCTACTTTCTCGACTGCTTTCTATTGTCTGAAAGAAACTATCTATGCCTTTCTACAGTAGGTGGCTGTCATCGTGAAGCACAGCTCTGGAGCGAGTGCGAGGCCATGCCCCTCTCTCTGTGTCTGTGTCGGTGTCTGTGAGTGTGTGTGTGTGTGTGTGTGTGTGTGTGTGTGTGTGTGTGTGTGTGTCTCGTTCTCTCCAGAGGACTCGGGCACAAACGAGTTGACTTTTCTCTAACACGCCCACAGCCGTGATATGATCAGTGAAAGTGAGCAGGCTGAAAATGAGAAAGGGAGATTGATTTTCCTTTTCCGTGCTAAACGACTGTACGTTATGAGTGCGGAGCCTGCTGAGATCTTTCCTCTGCACAGATGGGCCCAACTGATCAGTCACACAGCCTCAGTAACATTGTGCGGTAATGCTGCTACTCTGTACGTCCAATAAGTTAAAATTACTCGGGGTTCAGCTGCGCTAATGGTTTGCCCCGAGTCTATTCATCACCACATCTATGGAGCTCCACAGCAAAATACTGTTTCCTATAATATAAACTGCTGGCAATGAAATATGGTCCAAAATCTTTCATGATCTCCTTTACCTTTTGTTTGGTGCCTGTGTGAGGTCAAAATACAATTTAACTGACACTACAGTCATATCAGTGTATCTGGAAATCTAACAACTGAAGTTCCATGAACTCGCCTGTGGATATTCATGGTTGCCAGTTTGCCGATGATTTTGTACCTTTCATCTGGTGTCACCATCAATCCCAAATTTGAAATTCCAAAGTCTTTTGATATATTCAACAGAAATGCCAATAAACTGAATATATGCTCCATATAGTTTCCTCCAGCACAACAATTAAGGCAAAACCTTTAACACAGAGCACATTTTCTGAGCACATTCCTCTCCAACACTTTTATTTTTAATGCCCCTTTAGCCTTTCATAACCCCTAAAGACAAATTTCTAAATGAACACCACCTAATTGTCAGTAATTAATTCCAACAGTGTGTTATTTTGGAGTGTAATGAATATTACAGCCTCTAATATGAATTTACTTGTATTTTTCAATTTTTTTTTTTCTTATTTCTGGACAAACTCCTGCTGATTTGCCATAAAAGATTTCATTCATATACCGGTCTCTGTTCTTCAAAACTGTGCTTCATCTCATACTGGAAACCTAACAGAAGCCTAATTATTCAGCACATGAGGGTAGCCTTTCACAGACAGGTACATGTAACGACTTGTCGTTCTTAACTGGGATTTACGGGCTTAGTGCTCTCAAACAATCCTCCTGTTCCAAACGTTGCAAAACTGGACTTGTGCGCACGCACGCACGCACACACACACACACACACACACAACATCTCCTCATGACACCCCTGACACAGTGGAACAAACTCATTATGACACAGCAGTCAGACCAATCCAACACTGCCAGAGCACACCAGACAGGAAAGGTCAGATGTGTGTGTGTGTGTGCGCGCGAGTGTGTGCGTGTGTGTGTGTAAACCCTGGACAGAGGGAGGCGTTTTGTTCTAGATCCTGAGCGGCAAAGTGCAAAATTTTCATAACCAATGAAGTCTTTGACAACACTGTATCCACAAGTGTTGGCAGAATCGGGTTCCTGGTCCAGCTATCGATCCAACTCTACCAAGGCCCGCTACTCTTCACAGCAAGACCAACAGCAGCGCAGTAATCACTGAGCAAGCCCTGACCTGCTAACTTGAGATTTTTGTCTCCATCCCTCCAGGCAGCCAGACAGTGAAATCCTAGTGAAGTCACACTGTCGCCATTTTCTGCTGTGTCATTTTTCTCAGTTTGACATGACACACTGGTTACAGGACCAAACAAATAAATAACTTGTAAACACCACCACAGTGAATGCCTACTAGAGCAGGTTAATAGAGGGATGGAGCGTCTTTGCAGGGGTCTGCATATGAGAGTACACGGTCCACTCCACTCTCTCACTCCTGTCGAGCAGGCGGTCGAGTGATGGAAAACTACATGTGAGGGGTAACTAATTGAGTTACTTCTAACACTGAAGGTTCATTCCAACTCATCAATATTCATCTCACCTGAGCTGCTCTGTTGGCGGTTGTTTTGCTATGGAGATAATCACATGAATGACGACGCCCAAAGCAAACACTGCTTTGGGCGCTCTGTGAATCAGATGACTGCTTCATAAGGATCCATACAGAAATGCAATATATTACATATACTGTATGCCCCTATATCATGAGTGATGTTGCCATATATGTTACCTATAAGGGGAAATATTGTTATCACACTTCCGGATATACTAAAATTATAACATATATGAAATATCCATAGTAAAATTTGTAAAAATACATATATGATGAATGTTTTAATATATTTTTTATAAATATAAATATATAGAAACTTTATATGTGCAAGTTTATTATATCAATATACAAATTTTGTTTATGTATGATTTTGGTATTCATTTCTTATTAATTTTAAACATATATGTACAAGTCTATCTCTTATATTTACATATATAATATCAACATATATTGACGGGCTTTGGAATGAATATATATTTACATAACATACTGTATGTCTACAATAAAAGCTAGAGCTAGATAAATATGTCAATATATGAAATTCTAACAGGTTCTATATATGTCATTTTTACATTTATGCACAAACACGACTTTACTTCATATGGACATATTTTTCATACATGGAAATTCAAAATATACATATATATTACATTTGTGTAGGATTTTGACAGGTTTGAAATGTTGACCGCCCGTCTACACAAGACTGAAACTGTTGCAAATAAATATTGTTCTCTATAAAAGCATTTGAGCATTTCATGCATATGTTACAGCAGTTACACAAGCACACCCACTGCGTGCCAAAATAAGACATTTTCAGGGTTGCTGTTTAAAGTAGATTTATATGCCCTCCAAAAATTATCTATCAATCTGTACATCAAATTCCAACAGCATAATGTATTTCACATGACTGTTCACATGTGGGTCTTCAGGGTCATCTTCAAGCCTTATGAAGAGACATTTCTGAATGAAAACACATACATTTGAAACTAAACACAGAAATTCTGAAATAAAAACCTATCTCTTTGACTAATAAATATCTTTAAAAAATGTGAAAAATAGCACTCTGCTGTGAGTTTATTTTGAAAGATCCTATGATTTCTTATCTAATCTAGTCCACTTCGGATAATTGACTCAGCTGTTTGGTGCTATATACACAAGCTGTGAAACACATCGGACACACTGAGGTAAATGTGTACACTCTTCCAGTGCATCAATTATTGTAGCTGATTTATTATTTTTTCTTTCGTGTGTGTCTATGTGCTTGCTGTACTGTGTGTGTGGAGATGTACTTAAGATTGGCAAGGGCACAAGACTCATAATCAAACCTCCACTATTTGCCTTCCCACTCAGGGCACCTCGTCGCCACCGCCTCCACCCCCATCCTTGCTGTTTTGTGTACTCTCTTTACTTTATGAAGAATAAAGTCATTATTTTGTACCAAGACTCATAAATCTCCAATCCAACAGTCACCCACATTCACACAAACTCTAAAGCTAAAACTAAGCACAGCAGTGCTAGGAACTGGCTTGTTTATATTTTAATTTTCTTGAATTGTTTTTATAGCCATGTCTGGGTTCTTTCTCCTGTCAGGCACTGACCCTTCACAACTGAAATTTAACTCTGAAGTGACCAATCTATTTCAATGGTAATACGAGACATCTCCATTCTAACGGCTGTATAATTCTGAGCACTAATACAATATTTGAGCAAAAACCCAGCAACAGACTCACCTGCATCTCCTTCTCTCCGTACTTGGAGGGGTTCTTGCTGCCTTGGCTCTTCCTGCGCAGCTTCTTCAGTTCAGCCTGGCACTTCTCCAGGCTCTCCCCTTTGCTCTTGTGTTCCATCTGGTATTTCTTAAGGGCAGCCTACGTGGGGCAACAGGCAGAGCACAGAGACGAAATTAGGATCACAAATTAAAAAGTCTAGGTGACAGAGGGTGGGACGTAGATGGACAAATACATAACAGTCCTGCCAACCTTTTTTATTTTTTTTATTTTTTTTTGAAAGTTCTTACACCAATTCTTACTTTACTAACAGCCACTGGATTCAACTCTTAATGTTTCACTGCGGTAATGAATCATCATCTTGCAGAGGCTTGAAACCTCCCTTAGATATCCATTAGAAAATCTCTCCTTCGATTTTTGTTGAGGTGATATTACTGTTGTGTGTTTTTAAAACTCCCTCTTGGCATGTTAAAGGGGGATTTGACATCTGAAACCGATCTGTTTTAATTAAAGAAACACACTAATTCATGATTCTTTTCAAGCTCCATATTTGTGTTTTATTTGTCTTCCAGGTTTGATTTTGCAAAAGCAAAGCTCCTGATTGTGTCTCTGAAAACATCCACTGTGACTGATTACAAGCAGATTTCCATTTGACGTTCTTAGTATAGTGAAAAGAACAGAAATCAGTGACTTCCTGCAAAGTAAAGAAAAAAAAAAAAAAAACAAAGGAAAAAAGTATGATTTTCTGAACAAGCAAAATGACTGGCCTGGTCCTTTTACAGCCAGTTTATTTATTTAAAATATCTAATTTGCTTATTTAATTATTTATTTATTGAGAAAAACAACTTTGTTTCCGGGCTGTACCAGCTCTGTTGCTATAGTAACTGTGTCTGGTGTGACAAAGCTCATGTGGTTTCTGTACCAGGCAAAATTGGCGGAGGAGAGCTCATGCATGAAGGTTCAACACCCACATTTGCATAGTGTAAGACACTGAGGATGCAGCCAGGTATGCTCTAGGCATCCGTTGACTGTTGTCACTGGAAGACCAACACCATGACACATGCTGCGTTTGGATTTCATAACAGAGATGGTTGGTATTAGTTCTGTAGGCCTGAGCTGGGCTGGAAACCTCTGAAAGACTAGCGAGTAAAATAAACAACAGCTGGAATTTCCTATTTCAGCTTTATCTTCTGTTCATTAATTTCCCCATGTCTGGAGCTTCTCTGAAATATTGATTTGAATGTTTCCACACAAAACGGAGCAAAACATGCCTTTGCGCAACCCAATAACAATGAATGACTCATCCTTTCACTCCCCGCTAGTCTTTGAGGTAACGTAGTTAAACCAATAAGTGTTGCTCTGCAATTCACATTTACAATTTTACTCTCAGAAACCGAGGCTCCCGGGTGGAAAATACCCAGCACATGGATCATAGTAATGATTAGAGAAGACACAGCTGGCTGTTGTGAAAAAGTTCTCTTTGGTGTGCAGGGCCATATTGGGTAAACAAGATAATATCCCAAGCATCCGCCTCATTGAGCTGGAATGTTCCTCCTAATTAACAAAGCAAAAGCCCGTTTGAGTTTTGTTGCCAGCTCCCGAACCTGCAACTCTCAATCACTGGCTACGACTGCAGACAGATAATTAGTGTGTTTGAATCTGATTAGAGATAGAGTGGACAGTAGATGGACTTTGGTACACTTGGAGAATCTGACCATTGTTCTTAAAAGATTGATCTGCTAGAAATGCTCCTCTTTATTGATAATCTATATCTTGTTTTTTTTTTTTTTGTTTTTTTGTATTCTAGGTTCATGCCCGAATTCTGACCTCTGTGTAATGACTGCACAGTCTTGTAAAACCCCGTGCGAGCCATTATGTGAGACAAAAGAGAGGAGAGGCAGAGACGGAGGGAGAACAGAGAGAGATGCACCACTGGGAACAGTACACACACTCACAAAAGAAAAAAAAAAACAGCAGGCTTGCCTTTGAGTCTTTTTGGACTAAGTCAAAATTTCAGATGATTAACTCACAAAGTCTGAAGCAAAATGATTGCTATTATCACTGCGGCAGAGCTGTAAGAAATTCATTAAAAGTGATGGATGTTATAACCTCAGGGATACACCCAGACAGAAAAGTCTGATGCATCTGAACTAGTGTAGGAAGCATGAAATATTTTTCATACTTTTTCATACCAATTTAGGCAGTAAACACAAATTTGGCAGATGAGTATGGAGTCAAAGAAACACAGAGATGCTTTACATGGTTTTAAATTGATCTCAACATGACGGCATCTGCTTTTACCCATAAGTCTCTCTGTTAAGTCAAGAGGCCAGAAGCCGAAAAAGACTCACAATCAATGTTTCTATTTAATTTAAAAAGGCGAAATTATATAAACTGTGTGTGTGTGTGTGTGTGTTTTTGTGTGTGTTTGTGCGTGTGAGTGAGTAGCTGTGAGCCGACGCAGCTCGTAACGTGCTCCTTCCAACAATACAAAACAATAATGGCGATATTATCCCATCCCCCAAAACAATGCACAGCAGTGCTGCGCTACACTCAGGCTGCAACCCACTCATTCTAAAGATATCACATGTAGACCAGCTCCACAGTCCTTACACACATGCACACACATTCTCCAGGAGGGGTTTATTATAATCAGTCTACCCTTGATGGGCGAGTAGACATGAAATGTTGTTTTCAAAGCATCTTTTCACTGACACATCCTGTAATTGTGTCAGAAACAGACTTTGATCCAGATGTTAACGAACACAGTTTCACCTCCATCTCTGTTACCGCTTCACAGATTTGATGGAACATAATATAAAAGCACTACAATGAGATAAAAAAAACATGGAGGGCACTTATTGGACTGAGGCTGCGAGCCGATCAGATACTCACAGTCAGATAACGAGCATCCAGCTCCACCTTCTTCTCCAGCTCAGAGAGCAGCTCGTTGTGGAAGGACTTCAACTGGGAGGAAGCACAAAGACACTTCAATAACACGATATTCATAGTCACTTCAATGGCAAAATCATTAACAGATCAACAGAGTAAAAGTTTGCCGTGCTAAGCTGTTCACAATAGATCAATAAGCTATTAAATAACATGTTATTACCATAAGTTATTCACTAGGTTGAAAACTGACTTGCCTGAGGAACTGAATTAGCATAATATTTTAGATATATGATCTGCTGACACTCGTTGCTATGTACTGTTACACATAACATCAGTGCTCTTATATGCTTTAACATCCAGTTTTCTGCTGCTTTATTTCTCTTGGGCCAGAGAACTCTCTTAACTTTGCTGGTTTCGGCATGTAACAGCAACACATGTGCATGATATGCAGCAAAGTGTCTATTTATTCTACATTTAAATCAAAATCATTAATTGAAAAATAATGAACATAGTAAACAAAGTGAATTTTATGCTCAAAGTATAGAGTATGGAGTCTAGACGACAGGAATGATTATATAGAGTCAATTAAGACTTTGTGAAAAAAAAATGAACTGGTCCTTTAGGGAGTCACTGATCTGTAGTTGAACTCTGGGTGCTCAAGCTCCAGGGCAACCTCATGATCAGCACCTACGTCCAGGCTTTCTTCCGTACCAGATGCACAGCAATAAAATGAATACTGACTGTGGATAACTTGTCAAACGAGCACATTACCCAGAATGCAATACTGTTCAATTAACTCACTCGGCTACCCCAGCCACCTCCTGAGTTAGCAGTTTGGATTTATATGAGCTCAGCGTGTCTGTTCATTTAATTGCCATGTTTTTCACGTGCCGGCCACAGGGGCTCGGGTGCTCAGGGACAAATCTGTGTCACAGCTGGGCAGATTTGTTCAGGAGCATCATGGGGTACAGGGCCACATGGCCAGACTAAAATGGATTACTGTTGGAATAGCTTGTAGCCATGTCTAAATTATTGTTAAAATATTTTACATAACCCGAGTTTTATGTAGTGTGCTGTGGTGCTGAACCACAAAACTAAAAACCCTTTGAGCTCAGAATACCAACCATCTCCTCTAGCTGCACTTGGATCTGTCTGTGGACCTCAGCCATCTGGAACAGCACATCCCCTGCACAGAGAGAAAGAGGGAGAAAGGGAGAAAGCACATCAACAACACTCAACAGCACAAGCACATCCACTGCAGAGAAATAAAGAGGAGAAAAGGTAGGAAACGGGAGAGAAAAAAGAAGAAAAGCAAGAGAGAGAAACGGAAGAAACCCCAGCGTGCAATGCTCATGCAGTAATACAAGACACACAAACATACAGTTAAGGACAAGTGACTTGTAACTGGGACAATGAAGTACAAGATGAAAGATTTTTTTTTTCTTTTTGGGGTACAAGATGACAGAAAACAGAGAAAATGAAACAACACGGAGTGATGGCAAGTGAGAAAAAAACAAAAAACAAGCCGAAGGAAACAAACTTAAAATTAAATTCTGTTTCTTCAAGCGTGTAAGTACTGATGTCTCATGGAGATCAAAGATATTGCCTTTCTTTCTTTGATTAATCTTAACATCAGGCAATGTGATTTCTAGAACAAAACAAAAAATAAAAAAAAAACACCTGAAAGAAAGGTTAAAGTCTCCACATAAAAAGGTAATAACCAAAAGGGGGGGAGATAAGGGGGTCATGCAGCTCATGAGAGTATTTCATTGTCATATACCTACAGGCTGCCTCTTCTGAATGAGCAGTGCATTGTCAAGAAAAGGAACACAAAGAGCTACATTGAGCGAAGGACACATATACATATAGAGACCTGATAGAAAGACAGTGTGAAATCTACAGAAAAATGAGACACACACATTTCCCTGACCAAAAGGTCCAAAGCCCCTCAGGTTTAGCTCCGTCTGACTTCTTACATACGAGTTATTTACTTGGTTCTTAGTAAAAACACTGATACCAGCTAGGATTGGTTTGTATTGATTGCATTTAATTATTCAGGAAACATTATATTCAAAATACTGTATATTGATTTTAGTGAGTATACTTAAGTGAGTGGGGACAGATACATCTGTCAATAAAAGAAAGCTAGACAAAATATGATCCATCATCTTACTGCAGACATTAAAGGTCCCATATTATACATTTTCTGGTGTTTTCGATATCAATAAGAATATATCCTTGTGGTTTTTAGTACCCAAAACCATCTCAATGTAGTTTTACATCTCCCCTTTCGGGCTTCTCCCTGGAGCTCTGGTAACAACAGGTCCGTCTGTTTTCTAGGTGATCAAGTAAAATTATAGCAGGTAGGATGTGCTGTAGGCATAGCTGAGGGGTTGTGACTGTTTTGTTATGACATCACAAAGTTACAGAAGTCAGGCTGTGTGAATTCTGTCTGTGAATTGCACACTTTGATACAGTATCAATATAGCACCTGACCCGTTTTATAATTAAAAAAAAAAAAAAAAAGAAAAGACATGGACATCTTACTTTATACTATATGGGACCTTTAATACTTTGTAGTAAACTGTCTTAAAAAAAAAACTCCTGGACATTTGTGGCTGAATATAAGCTGCATAGTGAAGTGTTTATTTTGTTTAATTTCTCTCACACACACACACACACACACACCTCCCACCCCCTGCAGTGTCCTCATTTGAAAGCTGACCTGTAAAAGTACATCCACCTCACAACCTCATTCTCAAAATGCCTCATCAGTGAAATTAAGAACTTCTGCTTAAGTGGTTTCAGAAACAGACGAAATAGACGTCACCAAAGGGCTTTGGAGTGGTCTCCGTCTCAACAGACAGCACGTACAATGCAAATCGCTGCAGACAGACGACACTGAAGTGACTGTGACGGAGGAGGAAACAAAAAAGGAAGGGGGCATAAACGCAGTGAAGCAGGTTGTAGCTTTAGACTATATAAGGCAGGGAAAATACATTATGCACAGTGATTAACATTCTGTACAATACAGCAATACAACAACAAGAGCAAAACAATACAATTGATAAAGTACTTTAGTAGTTTTTTGTAATTAAGTTGGTATCACTCTATTTTAACCCCTCTATTTAGCATTTATAAGATGTATATAGTAAATTCCAATGACTGGTTAATGACACACCATAATGCAGTTGTAAGCAGATAAGGACATTTTAAGTGTTTATTGATTTACAACAATTATCATTTCTCCTATAAAGATACACGTCATATCATTCATATCAACTATGTTTTAATACTTTGTCATTCCTTATTTGTTTGTACACCAGCCTTTAATTAAGGGTGACCACATGTGTAGTTCTTCACAAATACATCAACAAACATTTATATCTGCTTACAATTACATTATAGTGTATCATTATATAAACCATCTGTTCAATGTTTTAAATACTGCCAATCATTGTCACTGTTTTTCCAAAGTAAGGGTTTAACTATAAACTCTATTAATAATGGTTTTTGCAAATTAGTAAAATGCTATTCGAACCAATTGTTGACCTGTTCATTCCCAGAAACGTGTGTGAAGTGTGTGCAGCAAAATCAAACATAATGACAACAGATTTTTTTTTTTTTCCATTACATGCTAAATTCAGTGCAGTCACTGCCCCTACAAGTCCTGTATACACAGGACAGCCAGGCCTTTTTCCCCATGGTGCAACCTCCCTGCTGATCTTGTACCTCACAGGAGCAGAGAGGCAGGCCAAAGCTTCCTGTCGGTTCCCAGCAGGCCCGCTAAGCAGCTTACAGATACTCATCCCTGATCACAGCCCTTCAGGCTTAGAAACCCTGGCATCCTGTTGGTGGCTTCAACTAGCTGGATCAATTAACAAATGAGCAGCCATCACTGTACCACAGACACATGCGCACGCACGCACGCACGCACGCACGCACGCACACACACACCAAGTAAACTGGCAGTAGGACAGGGTGTTTTGCAAGAAGCCAGAAAGGTAAAGAATGAATGAATGTGCGACAGATCTCATCTTGTCATCTGCAGTTTCATTACTGCACAATGTACGATGCCAAAGCATGGATGAAAATAAATAAATAAATAAATAAATCACACTTTGGAGATGCAAATAGTTACCATGGCAACTCTGATATCATATCACACAACAACAGTAACAGAAAATTGGACTGCATCCTTCACAAGCAGTTAACAGCAGAGAATTCAATCAAGAATCAATAAAGAGGGATAATGTGGAAAATCTGAATGTGTAGTGCAATGTTATTGTTTCGTACAGGAAATATTTGGCAGGCATGACACAACCTGAGAGACTTGATGCGAGAGCTACCAGCCTGACACGGATATCCGCATACCAGCTACATGACAGACAGGTCGATCGCTGCAGTGACAAAATCAAGAACACGCACCGAAACCCTCTTGCACACATATGCATGACCACACACACATGCACACATGCACGCATACACGCATACACACACACACAGACACACACACACAGACACACACCGGTAAATAAACCTTCAAAGATTCATTATTGTATCAATATTTCCCAGCTCACTTCAACCACGCCTGTTTCCCCTGGTTGAGAGAAAACAATAGTCCCTTTGTTGGGAGGTGAGCTTAGGTTGATCTACACCTGCAGCACAGCAACAAGCAGCCACACGCCCGTTAGCTTAAACCACTGAGTCAGAGGAGGAAGCATGGACACAGGACCTGGGTGCATATGAACAGACTGTCCCCTGAAGTATGACATCAGCTTGTGTAGATGTATTGACTGCTTGTGTAACCGCAGCAATGATACACCCACACAGGTAGAGAAAAAGAAAGGAAAAAAAAAAACTGAATAACAGAATGTGGGCTATGGTGCAGAAAAAAATAAAATAAAAAGTGGAAGTTTGCAGTGTTGAACAGAGAGAACAAGAGAGACAGAGATGGAGGGAGGGAGAGAATGGAGGTGGATGGAGAGACACTGAATCACTGGTGAAGGTCAAGCCGGATTCACTACGGGTTGTCATGGAAGCAGGATAATGCTAGGGTCGTTGCCATGGGAGAAGTTGCAAGATGAGGGGCAGCAGCTGCAAAGTGCTGTGTTACAAAACGCTGTTCAAAGATCTCCACCCCTTACTATCAGCTAGCATTACATCAGCATCTACACTTCCCTGGGGAGGAAAGTGGAGTGAGTCCCACCTGGGGAGTCTGTGTAAAGTACATGTACGTGTGTGTGTGTGTGTGTGTGTGTGTGTGTGTGTGTGTGTGTGTGCGTGTGTACACACAGTGTGTGGCTAAAAAGTACAGAGGTGTTAATACCTGCCTAATTCACAGGGGATACAAACAAGTGGGCAAGTATAATGCGGCAGCGGGATAATGTGCGAGACGCAGATAATAGCTGAGAGTCTGGGTGGCTGTGTGATTGTGTGCATGTGTGTGTTTGTGTACATGTGTGCGCGTACACACCCCATGAAATAACAACAGCTAAACACAGTTAGTCTGGGAGTGAGGGAAGTTTAGATTAGCTTAGATTTCATCTCTTGAGCACACACAAACACACACGTGAGAAACAGTTTGAATTCAGCCTCTCAAAACTACTCATACACAGTATATGACATGTTACTAAAAATGGACACTCAGCCATCACAGCTGTTCAACCTAGTAGCCTAATATAAGTTTGTCCAGCAATGGTGTCATGCATTTAGGCCATAATGAAGGCTTTAACAGGACAAACGTATGACTGCCGAAGAGAAGTGGGCCAAAGGAATGTTGCAAGTAATCTTTACATTTATTCTAAGAAGGTCTCAGGTATAGGCTGCCGTGCATTGTCTGCCGGATAATACTGTACAGTGCACAGCAAATCCAAACCATCTGGTATCAATGAGCAACAATCCCGGTCCTGTTTTTAAGCTGCTGTTCCACAAGCCTCAACCACACAGTACGTTTTGTAGCAGCAAAAAGCTGAAACATGACACAGTGTTTCTGTAGGGGCGATTACACTGAAACATCTCACCATTTTAACAAAGATAAAATAAAAGAAGAGCAAAAACATATGTCATGATGAATCTTAGTCAGAGGACGGTTGTTAAAGCCTCATGGGAGCTGTAGTTTTTTAACAAAGTGATTACAATAAACACTTATGTACAAGGCCCTGCCCCAGAAGTGGGGCTATGTAC